TTGCCTGTTCCCATTATGCTGACCACGTTTTCTCCTTTTTTTGGTGGAGGCATTGTTGGTGAAGTATGCATAAGTCCTATCTATCAGATCGTCATGGAAAATTTGGTAGTTGTCAGGCTTGTAGTCCTTGTACCAGTCATGGATGAAGTCTATGAACTGGCTTTCATGTTCTTGCTTGACTGTGATTCTACGTCTGTTGAGTTTACCACCAGTGGGGGTGTCATTGGCTACATGTATACTAGCTTGGATTGGGCTGTGGTCAGACATAAGATCAGTGACAACATCAGAGCTATGAGTTGTGTATGAGAGATTAAAGCCAATACATTTGTCTAGACCCCCCGCCATAGATGTGTGTTGGTTCATTATTACCTATAATTTGAACATCTTCATATGCGCTGAGAAGTGAGATAAGTCTCCTACCATTGGTGTTAGTGGTGGAGTCACCTAATTTCTTGTGTCTAGTATTCAGGTCACCCATCAGGACAGTGGGCTCAGTGTGTAAAAAGTCTGGGAGATCTGTGTACTGAAGCTGATCTGAGGGAGCATAGGCGTTTAGCAAGTTGAGTGTGGAGTTGCCCAGGTGGATAGTGATCCCATGGTACTGAAGGTTGGTAGTCTTTTTGGATACAAAAGGTACATGCGGGAGTGACTTCTTAACATACATCAAACATGTGTGAGTAGAACTAGGATCATAATACACATAATTGGGCAGACTGGGTGGGGGCTTACCATAAGGTGTGATACACTCCTGCAGACACACAATATCGATGTCCTCAGTCACAACTTTGTGGTGTACAGTAGGTCAGGGTATCGTTTTCTAAGGGATGAGATGTTCCAACTCATCACCTTCACCGCTCTGTATCTTTGTCTGGTATTAACACTGGCCATTATGAAATGTATTTGGAAAGAAGCAAAAGGCACTGTATGATACTGTTCTTTTCTGCGCTGCCTGTCCCTTCAGCAGGCAGAAGGCCAGTTAACCTTTTTGAAACATTTCTGGAGCACGTACGGCTCAACAATTGTTGTAAGTCAGTGGCAGACAACAACACACTTTGGTTACACTCGACATCACCACCATTTTCTGTTTGTGCTTGTTCATCTTCACTGTGGGTCTTGAGTTTCCACATCTGGTACTGACATCTGAATGTCTTCAGTTTGACTGTAATTTTTCCGTAGCTGCTGCACTGTGTTGGTGGTGTTTTTTTCCTTTAGTGTATCACAGAGGCTCCTTAACATTTCAGTTTGAGCTGTAAACTGAGCTTTGAGTTTTTTAATTTCATTTTTCAAATCATTGATCTCTTCACGTTGTGCGTGTTCATGGAGTGTGTTGGCAGCTACCTGTTGTGTCGGTACGTCTGTGTTGCCCCATGCTGATCTTTCGATGACTGCTGGTGATGATCCTGGAGCTTTGGTGGGGAGGGCGGGCCAGGGGTTGGCCGTAGGGAGTACCCTAGCAGCATTAGTGTTTCTTGAGACCTGCCTGGGTGGCGGGTCTGGGCGCTGAAGGGGTGTAGGAGCTCTAGAACAGTTAGGGTGCCATACAGGAACTCCAACTGTTTTGCAGTTAATACACTTCTGTTGGATGACACCCCCTTGAGCAACTGTATCTCTGCAAACCTGTGTTGCATGTTGCCTTGAGCAGAGACCACACCACGGCTTAGTCGAGGGGCATAACCGGGCCACATGGCCCCAGTGCTGACAGTTGTAACACCTCCGGTTAGGGGGCTGATAGAGAGTTACCTTCAGAGTCCGATAGGCACCACGGACTCGAATGGTCATGGGTGGGTCTTCCGAGCCAACCCAGTCTGCAATGACTGCATTCTTGCCCCTGAGTCGCTTCGTCCTTCTGATGTAGGGATGAGCTTCTAGTAGTGTAGGGGTCTGGTACTGGTCGAGCCCTATGATTAAGATGGTTTTCTTGCTCGATGGTTGGGATGATTGTTCTATGGTTATTCCCCTTATGCTATTGGTGAGGAGATCCTGTATGACTGCTGGGTCGTTCCTAATCAGAACATGATCTTGTGTACCGACTCTGAACTGAAACTCAGCCTCTGGGTGTTTGTCTTCCGCATCGTTCAGCCAGAGATACTTGTCTTCAGGTGATGTACCTTCAGGGAAGTATAATCTTACTCTCATGGGGGGTTGTGGTTGTAGTTGATGGTCTATAAGTCTTTCTGCCTTTTCGGTCTTCCGCTTGTTCCTGGACTGAACTAGTTGAAAGCCATCCTCTCCGTTGGTGTCAAGGTCAACACCACAGTCGCCTGGCTCACTCAGTGTATCAGGAGAGTTAAAGCGAGTAGCTGGGTCTCCAGTCAACTCAGACATGGTGGATTTATAGGGCTCGACTTATATGCCTACGTCAGAGGGCCGAGGACTGCTTGGCACTCTCAGGAAGTCAGCGGTGGTTGGGAGGCATAACCCTCTTAGAGGACAAAGAAGACTGGCATCTACAGCGTATTAGAGGTGTGAGGGGAGGCCATGAGCGGGCCTCCCGCGGAGGGAGTGTGGTGTCAGGGGGACTAAGGTAACAGGAGTTTTCTCAGTTTATAAACACTTTTATTACACTCCACTTGTTCTTAATAGTATCTCTGTTTTTCTGGTTAGATACAGTATCAAAGTCAATTTTAGCTTCAAAAGAACTAACTAGCTTGGCACACTATGAGGAGGGGGGTTTGTGTAAACAAACCCTCACCACATGGCCCAGCGTGACCACAAGGGTATAGGCCTTGCCTCGCAGGCACCTCCACCTACACACGACACAGTGCTCAACACACGGTAGTTCACTTGTTATACAGGCAACATATTTGCAGTTGTTGACCTATCCCCACCCTACTGGGTGGCGTTGTGTTATTTCGAAGTCATGTGTGAAGCCGACCCACTGTTGTTCTCAGGGTGGACTGATTAGCACCTCCTTGTCAGGAGATGGCGGTCAGTACCCAGTGGTGCTTATCTCACTGGTGAGTCACGGCTCTCACTGGTACCGTCTAGTACTGAATTCACTGGCTTAAACACTGTTCATAACTGTTCAACACTGGTTCCACTTCTTTCCGAAACGAAATGTCACTTTTGATTATGTTGATATCCCTGTGGTGAGGATGGGTCGGGGAGAGGGACGTGGGGAATGGGCCGAGCATTGGCCAAGGGGGAGAGCTGCTCAGCAGGAGCAGCGCCTAAATAGGTCTTGACCCTACGGTGGTCAGGTCATCACTGGAAAGTGGGAGAGTGTGTGAGGTGAGAGAGAGTGAATGGGGAAGTTAAAGGCAAGGGAGAAGTAAGAGAGAGAGTATAGGTGAGAGGTATGGGAGAGTGGGGGACAGAGACCCAATAGTGAGGGAGTTGAGGGATGAGAAGTGAGGGAAACTCTGAAGATGAAGGAAGAGGTGGCTGGGATCCTAAGGACGGGGGAGAAATCCTTAGGGCGGGACGGGGCGGAGCGTGACGAAACAGGGCGGGACGGCTGGGCGGGACAGGGCAGAACAAGGGTAGCGGAGGGGGGAGGGGGATGAGAGTATAAAGCTGGGACTTGGCTGACTGACGCCAGTATCATTCACATCCGAAGACTGTCTTCTACCGTACTCACGCTCACCTGTGTTCTGCAATCCTTTGTTCTTCAGTACTCTGACTTGTTCTTCAGCACCCTGACTTGTTCTTAAGTATTCTGACTTGTTCTCCAGTGTCTTGTTACCAGATCAGCATAACTAAGATGTTAGAGGATTCTGCTAACATGGCTGATGGTGGTAGTGGAGGGTCAGGTGATGGTGGTAGTGGAGGGTCAGGTGATGGTGGTAGTGGAGGGTCAGGTGATGGTGGTAGTGGAAGGTCAGTTGATGGTGGCAGTGGAAGGTCAGTTGATGGTGGTAGTGGAGGGTCAGGTGATGGTGGTAGTGGAGGGTCAGGTGATGGTGGTTGGAGGGTCAGGTGATGGTGGTAGTGGAGGGTCAGGTGATGGTGGTAGTGGAGGTGAGTGGGAGGGTCAGGTGTGGTAGTGGAGGTCAGGTGATGGTGGTAGTGGAGGGTCAGGTGATGGTGGTAGTGGAGGTCAGGTGGAGTAGTGGAGGGTCAGGTGATGGTGGGTAGTGGTCAGGATGGTGGTAGTGGAGGGTCAGGTGATGGTGGTAGTGGAAGGTCAGTTGATGTTGGTAGTGGAGAATCAGGTGATGGTGGTAGTGGGGCTGATGGTGGTAGTGGAGGGTCAGGTGATGGTGGTAGTGGAGGGTCAGGTGATGGTGGTAGTGGAGGGTCAGGTGATGGTGGTAGTGGAAGGTCAGTTGATGGTGGCAGTGGAAGGTCAGTTGATGGTGGTAGTGGAGGGTCAGGTGATGGTGGTAGTGGAGGGTGAGTGGGAGGGTCAGGTGTGGTAGTGGAGGTCAGGTGATGGTGGTAGTGGAGGGTCAGGTGATGGTGGTAGTGGAGGTCAGGTGGAGTAGTGGAGGGTCAGGTGATGGTGGGTAGTGGTCAGGATGGTGGTAGTGGAGGGTCAGGTGATGGTGGTAGTGGAAGGTCAGTTGATGTTGGTAGTGGAGAATCAGGTGATGGTGGTAGTGGAAGGTCAGCTGATGGTGGTAGTGGAGGGTCAGGTGATGGTGGTAGGGGTCAGGTGATGGTGGTAGTGGAAGGTCAGCTGATGGTGGTAGTGGAAGGTCAGCTGATAGTAGGTCAGCTGATGGTAGTGGAAGGTCAGGTGATGGTGGTAGGAGGTCAGGTGATGGTGGTAGTGGAGGTCAGGTGATGAGTGGAGGGTCAGGGTGATGGTGGTGGAGGTCAGGTGATGGTGGTAGTGGAGGGTCAGGTGATGGTGGTAGTGGAGGGTGGTGGGTGGAGTGGTGGTGGAGGTCAGGTGATGGTGGAGGGTCAGGTGATGGTGGTAGGGAGGTCAGTGATGGTGGTAGTGGAGGTCAGTGAGTGGTGTGGTGGAGAATCAGGTGATGGTGGTGGAAGGTCAGCTGATGGTGGTGGTGGAGGAGTGATGGTGGTGGGTGATGGTGGTGGAAGGTCAGCTGATGGTGGTAGTGGAAAGGTCAGCTGATAGTGGTAGTGGAAGGTCAGCTGATGGTGGTAGTGGAAGGTCAGCTGATGGTGGTAGTGGAGGGTCAGCTGATGGTGGTAGTGGAAGGTCAGCTGATGGTGGTAGTGGAAGGTCAGCTGATGGTGGTAGTGGAAGGTCAGCTGATAGTGGTAGTGGAAGGTCAGCTGATAGTGGTAGTGGAAGGTCAGCTGATAGTGGAGGGTCAGAAGAAATCAGGTGTTTGAACGTCAGCACAAAGGTCATCTTCTTCGTCAATGGCAGGAAGGTAAGACTGCCATTTATTTTGGTTATTCTGTAACACGTCTCTCGTGAGAGTGATGTGCTGTCATCATCACATACCTATTTCCAGGTGTCTATACAAGGCGACTCTCAAATACAGAAACAGAGGGAGGGAAGTTTGATTAGTTACTGTCACGAAACGGAATCACATTGTTATATGTGCATAAAATTACATAAAAGTCTACGGTTGTTCCACACCAACCTCACTGTAGAAATGTCCCAGTAATAAACCCTGAAATTTACTGCACGTATTTGAGAATTTGTCTGTATATATGTTTTTGATCGTTAAGTGACTCTACCATCTCTTGCTTCAAACATTCATACCAACCTGAACATCAAAGAGGTGCGGTTGATAGCCCTGACTTCTCCAGCAGATCAAACGTAAACAAACACTATAAAAAATATATTGCCTAATTTTCAGAATGTATTAACCAATGCAGAGCTTGTGACGAATATGGTATTTTAATGTTTATTTTTAAATATGTTATCAACAATCCTCACTCTAGTTGTGTCCTCTTGAGAATTAGGGAAGTAATTTACCTTATAAATCATTTCGTCTATCAGGGACTGTGGCAACTCAGGATAACGATTATTGTCTTAGTTTAAGGAGGGATCCGGGATTTTAACCACACAGAAAAAAATTACCAGAGAAACACTAAAAAAAAAAGGAGAGAGATATAGGGATAATATATAAGAGTTTTAACAAGTGTGTGTGTTGCAGTTGATAGAGGACCAGGTGGACCCCGAGTGTACCCTGGTGTGTTACCTACGTGACAAGTGTATCCTTTTACCGGCCTTGTGGTTCACCCTGTTACTGACACCTCCTCAAACAGGAGTCTCTTGTAGGATTTATGATTATAGTAGTTTAATTATTTATGTGGGAGGCCTAGATGGCTTTTAGTAGACCTATGTCCTTAACTAACATAGACCTACAGTATATGTTTTGTTTTGTGACGATCGAAATTTATAGTTGCCTTATGTTCTTATCTTCTCGTTGGAAATATAATAGATAATTTAGTTATGACGCTATCAAACTCTTAAAAAAAATCAGTGTTTCAAGGCTGTTGACTACTAGGTTCTTGACAGCCCACAGTATTTTCACTCATTTTAACAAGCGGTTACAACACCGTCAACAGAACCAGGGAGCCTACTGAAGATACTCCCACTCTCCAATATGTGTCAATACACTTATCTTATCTTATATGTCAATACACATACAGTATATTATGTATCACATAGTACGTTCTTAAGGGACAACTTGTTAAACACCACTTCGATACAACTATTTATTAATTCACTCAATGACACGGACACATTAATATCAATATTATATCGGAGTTCTTAGCACATTATTTTTACGTTACTCGCCACTGACTTGGACACAAACATGAAAGGAATACACTTCCCACAGTAGGTAACTCACCCTAGGAATCGTTCTGACAAAGACTCACGTGCAACCTGACGTAGGCCCAGTGGGTGCTGGCTGGGCTGCCTCCTGTAGGAGACTCTGTTTAGCTGGTGAGGCTGAGGTCTGGTCGGGAAGTCTCCCTCCCGACCTGGGGGGAGGAAGAGCGTGACTCTGCGCGAGTGAGCAGAATGACGACCCGAACGGGAGAATCAGAATGACCAGAGTGACAGAATGACAATCAGCCGAATGACCTGAATGACGCCGTGGACGGGACTGCAGGGCCTTTATATGGGCCTGGAACAGCAGGCGTTTGACCTTCGCCAATTTACACTAAACTGGTTAGATCTGGACAGCTGTGTCCAGGTGTGGTCATGCCCAGGTGTGTCTTGGAGATGTGGTTGTAGGTCAAGTCACGCGCTAATTCAAGTACTTAGCGGACGAGGTCAGGTCCCTTGGGTCCTGACCCAGCCCAGGGTGTGTCAAACCGGTATGTCAGGGACCATGAGGTCTACACACTCACTGTTATATGTGTTGTACTTCTCTGGGCTGTAAGCTATGGTCTGATATTCAATCATTACAAATAGTTATATCTATTATTAACAAAGTCACCTGTTTACCTAATGTTAATAATGCCAAATAACTAATTTATCGTTTTAATTCTATGTAAGTTTTGTAAAAGTAGGAGTGTGGCAGCATGACCATGGTAACAAATAGGCTGTCAGAGGGTGTAGGTCCACGATCAACACAACTGTTATTGCAGGTTATCAATTATAACTTGTAAAACATTATTCAAGTCTCATATAAGTTTCAGTAGCAGCTATAAAACTGTTGAAGCGAAATTTTTACTTGGGACGGCTTCAGTTGTCATCGGAGAGTATACGGCAGACAATACTGATGAAGTACTAGCGCGTTGTTTTAATGGGTATTATGCTTAAACTATTACATGAAAAAATGTATACTATGAATTGCACCAACAGTGATAGGGCGAAGAATAATGAAACTGAAGCGGCGCGAGTTGTTGACCCTGACAGTGACGCCGCTGAAGAGAGTTTACTAGATTGTACCACACTTTGTTTCTCGCTTTTCAGGTGGCAGATTCTACTTGCAATATATATATATATATATATATATATATATATATATATATATATATATATATATATATATATATATATATAATTTAGATATTTGTGATATGTAAAATGCTCATGACCAGATTTAGGGCCATTAGTTGCCGTCATAGGCTACAGTTTAGCTGCCAAAAACCATCTGACTTAACTTACATTTATGCTGTCACACACTGAGGGCATCTGTTACGTTTCCTTAACTTTTAAGCAGTACGGCTAACAGGCACTAAGGTGGCGTGTGGTGAGGGCGGCTGTGGTGCCTGCACGGTGATGCTCTCCTGCTACCACCACGATCGTCACACCGTCAGGTAGGTCCTGGTTGTTCTTGCATCTCAACTTAGAAATATAAACATAGGTCTCACCACTCTGTATCCAGTCAAAGCAGCTAAATCTTATATTAAGATTATAGATCATTTTTGCCATAAACTCTTTAATGTGTGTAATTTGAATATGATGGTTAAAATCACCGAATTGGCACGATCACGCTGCGTGAGAAGGATCATGATGTCATCGGAGTCGTCACCAGCTTCTCTGAGGAGCAGTCACCACCACACCCTTGACGCTCACTGAGAACACAACGCAGATTGATTATGTGACTTCGGGATGTCAGTGAAAGTATTATTTTTACTTTACTCAACTTGTTTAGTTACCTTCCCGTTGCAGTTGTAGCTTTTATTTCCTTCATCCTTCCAGCGTCTGGCTGACTCAGTTCTGTCTCATACTTTTATGTTGAAATGATAACTTGTGGATGACAACCACTCTTTATGACTCGCTGCAGAATTAAAAGAACAGAAGATTGTAGGTGACCTTACCCAATGGCCTAGCCTCCTACAGCCATTTCTGCGTCAACGCCTGTCTGATGCCAGTGGCTGCCGTGCACGGGATGGCGGTCACGACTGTGGAAGGCGTGGGAACCCTGAGGACACGTCTTCATGTAGTACAGGAGAAGCTGGCCAAGGCCCACGGCTCCCAGTGCGGCTATTGTACTCCAGGGATGGTGATGGCCGTGTACACCCTCCTCAGGAATAACCCAGTCCCAAGCCTGGATGACCTTCACCATTACCTCACTGGTAAGACCTCCCTGTTGTTCCTCTTGCTTTTGCTCGGCCACCCAGCCAAGTGTGTAAGCACCCTGGATCCCTTATCTGAAGACGAAGGAACATACCTTTACAAAAAAAAAGTCTCAGTTTAATTTCAGTGCCACGTTCACCACTATTTTTATGACGTTACAGTAATCGGTTATTTTAAAATACGTTTTCATCTCTTTAATTAAAGATGTACTCTAATTCAAGACATTTAATCTTTGAGGGGGTTGATCAAAGAGTGGGCGCATGACTGTCTCTCTGGTAGGTAACTTGTGTCGCTGCACCGGATACCGCCCTATTCTGGACGGTCTTGCCAGTCTCACTACCAACTCCTTCCCATTACCTCCCTGTGGCAACACCAACTGCTGCAGGTTTAAATCACCACCCACAGGTAAGTCACTACCTTGTTACTGTAGGTTATACTAGTGCAGGCTGTTAACATTAGGTGACAGCAGGAGACGTAGTGCAAGTCAGTGCAATTTTTTGTGTCTAGTTATTTCTAGTCGGACAGCACATAGGATGCAGCGCTACGCTGCTACGGGTTATATCATGTTGTAGATTGTCAACACTGTATAAAGTTATAGTGCACAAATCAACAGAACTGTCATCGCCCATCGTCACCTGACAAACAATGCTTGTGCGTGTCATGGTCTTATAAAATACATTCTTTGGAGCTTGGTGAGTGTGTAAATAATTACGGGGAAAAGCGGGTGTACAGTTATAGGCTGTTAATGCTGTGTACCTTAGCCTCAACACGTTTCCTATATGAGAGAAGGCGTATCTAGATGGCACATATCCACCTCCTCGTCACGAACTGCAATGAATACAGTGGTTACTCATCCTCACAACCCATTCATAGTCAGCATCTGTGAGACAAGAGGCATCGGAAGCGAATTTTAACGAGATTGGTATACAAAATTCGTATCCAAATTTGACAATGGTAAAAACGAGAACGACTCCGAGACGAAATATTTTGATCGAGAGTGAGCCACGACTAAAACAGACAGTCGTTATAAACAATATTAGACTCAAGATTAACGATGACAGTAACAGGAATATTGAGAAAATCGGTGATAAGATTAACGGTGCTGCACTTCAACAATAGACTGACATTTCCCAACAAATTACAGTATTGTAGCTCATGTATCGGGGTAGGCTATGTAAAGATTAGTAGTACATTTGTTTCCCTCTTCGGAAGAAACTGCTTACAATATCGAGACGCCTCATCAATTACCATAGTTGTGTCAGCCAGGTTATGCAAGGTGTGCTCCAACATAACTATTCAATGAAGAATTAATGGATCATCTGAGGATTCGACCCCCACCTTGTCATTTCATCAGAATCTCAACCACTCTAAACTTACCTGGAAGGGAGTTAGGTTAGGTTAGGTTAAGTCAGTTAGGTTAGGTTAAGTTAGTTAGGGTTATTAGTCTCCAAGTGAAGTAAGCTGTAAGGGCAAGCTTCTGATGATCCAAATTAATAAAAAAGAAAAAAGAAAAAGAAAGACAGAATACAAACCTTAGATAGTGATACTAATTTGTTCCCCTTTTCCCCAGAGAAGGAAGAGAGAGACAAGAAACGTGAAAATCTTACTAATAGAGAAATAACGACCAATGAATGTGACGTGGAGAGATATGGACTTTGTGTTGACGAGGAGTTCAAAACATCTCGGTGTGACCCAAGGGAAGCCGTGAAACCAAACGTAAGCTTCGAGACACATGTTCACGTGAGTCAGGAAGGTCTTCAGATGACTGGTAATGACGTCGGCTGCTTCGAGAGAATAACAGGTGGTGATGGTAACGACAAGACTGACTCTGAGACAAAATGCTTGATCGAGAGGGACAACTTTGTGATAGACAGTTGTCCTGACAGTAGTACGCTCAAGATCAACGGTGATAATGATAACATGAGCCCCAAGGTCAACGGTAAAGTCAACGGAAGCCTCAAGACCAACGGTAACATCAATAACACTGGCCGCTTGGACTCGACTCCACCAAGGCGTTACGATCCCACCCAAGAGGTCATTTTCCCACCAGAACTGAAGGTTTGGAAACGTGTTGTTTGTTTACACCCAGAATGACGTTACTAGACCAAACTCTCCACATTGTTGTTTGACTTTTGTTTCATATATTTTGATTCTGTATTAAACCAAACAAATGAGATCTTGATATAAGGATGTACAATTTATTTTGCATAATTTGAAAAAGGAAGGTACTGCAATAGTCTGTTTCATCTTCCCTTCTTCTTTCTTTGTGGGTTGATTGCATGTTTCTTAGTCTGAAAGCTATTTGTGTGTCGTGGACAGGTGAGTGACGACCTGGATAGACAGACACTGATGTTCCAAGGTCCGCGGGTCACCTACTGGCGCCCCACCTCCTTCACCCACCTCGTCACCCTCAAACACCATCACCCACACGCCAAGATCATCGTTGGCAACACTGAAGTTGGTGAGTGATCGGGATAGGGTGTACTATGGTTAGGGTGTACCAGAGCTCGGGTGTACCAGAGCTCGGGTGTACCAGGGCTAGGGTGTACCAGGGCTAGGGTGTACCAGGGCTAGGGTGTAACAGGGTTAGGGTGTACCAGGGTGAGGTGTACCGGAGCTAGGGTGTACCAGAGCTCGGGTGTACCGGAGCTAGGGTGTACCAGAGCTCGGGTGTACCAGGGCTCGGGTGTACCAGGGCTCGGGTGTACCAGGGCTCGGGTGTACCAGTGCTAGGGTGTAACAGGGTTAGGGTGTACCAGGGTGAGGTGTACCGGAGCTAGGGTGTACCAGGGCTAGAGTGTACCAGGGTGAGGTGTACCGGAGCTAGGGTGTTCTAGGGTTAGAAGGGGTGTGGCAGGGCTAGGGTGTATCAGGACCAGGGTGTGCCAGTACCAGGGTGTACCAAGGCTAAAAGGGATAGGGCAGGGCGAGAGTGTAGTGTGGACTTAAGCAGTGTGGGTGGAGATGAGCTTAGAGTGTAGTGTTAGAGAGAGGCAGTAGGATGAGGTGTGGTGTATAAGGGACAAAGATGGGATAGAAGCCTGGGATGTAGTTTGAAGTGGATGACGGAGGATGAGATCTTGGGACGGGTATAGACTCGACTGATAGAACGGGATGAAAACAAGCGGACATAACGGAACAGAGACTGCTTATGGAACAGTTTTCTTTTCTATGAAGATGCACTGTTGGTATTACAAGTTACAATGTTGATATTTATTCCTGTCTCAACTATGAAATACTTAAAAAAAATAATAATTTATTCAATTGTTTTTCCAGGTGTTGAAGTCAGGTTTAAGAATCAGTTGTACCGAGTCCTTATCAACCCAAGTAAGGTTCCCGAGCTGACGAGTGTGGTGGTGCAAGGATCAGGAGTGGTATTCGGTGCGTCCGTCACTCTCACCGCCGTATACGACGTGCTCAGGCAACAAGTCAAAACTCAGCCAGGTCTGTTTGGATTAAGGAAAAAAATATTAATTAAGAAGAGTTACGTAACCATGGTATAGGAGACTAACTTGGAAATAATGAGGGTTGTAGTGTACAAGTTGAAAGCGGCGTGCAATGTACAGTTTTGGTGACCTTTGACGGTTTAACCCATGAATTATACATTTAGGTGACCTTTAACCCCAATAAGATGATCAAAATATAAGAAATATAAATTAATTCACATAACTGTTTTTAGAAGCTGAAGTAGAACACCATAAGTGTTTGATCAGTTGATTGATGTACAGTCGTGGACAAAAGTTCGGACTTACCCTCTTAACTGATGTAGCGTATCTCATTTGGGGTCGAGGCTGCCTTCATTTTGGGAGGGAGCGAACTTTTGACCCGGACTGTATATATCTCTGGTTATCTATGTTATCAGTCATGTGAGACGCCCTGGACGATGACAACACAAGAAATAAATCCCCATAAATACTTTTATGGAATAGCCCACCCGGGCACAGGTCATCGACCCACAGCGGGGCCTGGGGGGCGAAAGAATAAGAGTAAAAAGAAATTATACTTCTATATCAAAATAGCTCAACCTTAACTGTGTAATGAGACGTAACTCACAAATGAAGAAGATTACATATAGGTAGAATATTTAGTAGGAGGATGTAAAGAGAGGAAGAGTTTGGTAGCGTGGCCGGTTAGTTATTTACACTGTCAATACACTTATCTTATACGTCAATACACATCTGTTACGTTCTTAAGGACGACTTCTCAAACACCACTTCGTTACAACTGTTTATTAATTACGACAATGGCGTGGACACATCACTAACACCTTCTATCGAAGTTACTAGGACATTATATTTACGTTACCAGACACTGATTCTCGGACACAACATGAAATGAATACACTTCCCACTTAAGTAACTCATCCTATGGATAGCTCTGACAAAAACTCACGAGACCTGGGGGAGGCTTAGCATGTGATTCTGGGTTGTCTCTATGGGAGACTCTGCTTAGCTGGACACCGGTGTCGGGAGGGAAGAATGAAAAAAAATCAACAGTGAGAAACGCTATACTGTATATGTATGTTGTCTTGTCATGTAATAGAAACAATTGAGACCCTGCAATTGTGTGTAAATGAGGCAGAAAGTCAGATCAGCAACCTGGGACTTGGTCACAATTTTCGTGATGCCATAAGGCAGCAGGGTCTACCATTAGACAACACATTATGCTTCCAATATCTTCCCAGGCGGTAGTACCTCCCTGTTTGGTAGCTGCCTACTACCTAGTACCTAGTGTCACGTATACTGTATAACGTTGATTATATTTACAAGGGAGTTTTACAGTAGTTTTCTTGCTTTCAGAACACAAGACACGGACCTTTTCAGCCATCCTGGAGATGCTTAACTGGTTTGCAGGGAAGCAGATCCGCAATGTTGCCGTGAGTTGCTCCAACACCGTTATTAACTGGCTTATGATTGGTTGATACACTATGTCATCATTGATCTATCCAGTCTTTAACTTATGACCAATAAATAGGATATACCTTACCTTGACTGAGTGGCGGACTGGGTCAAAAATTTCTACCTGGAAAACTTATAAAAGGGCTCATTCAAAAGGGTCCAAAAGGGCCCACTTAATCCCAAAACGTAGTCAAAGGAACCATCACTTTGGGGCCCACTGGGAATTTTTCCGGTATCCCGGTGGGCCAGTCCGCCACTGCTTGACTCTCTGGACATGGATCCGCATCACAGTGGTTGGGATACAATGGGCGTTTGAAGTTACATGTGTGCATGAGTGGATGAACACAGGTGCGTGAGTATCATCAGTATATGTTTTTTTTCCTTTTTACGGGCATTAGCAGGGCTGAAGTAAACACTTTTTGTTTTTTCTTTATTGTAGAAAATATAGCTCCACAGGTCCTTAGTTCAGTTTAGAATATATTATACCTTCTCGTCTAGGGGAAATGTCTTAGTGTACGTACACAGGAGAACACTTAAGTGAGGTGTTCTCTGGGTAACAAAAAATATGAGTCTGATCTCTCTGACCAAGAGAGATAGGGAGAAGCAGGCCTCGAGAGTGTGATTAAGGAAACGCGTCAGATATCTTGTTGTGCTAACATGCGCTGACTTCAGCCTGCCCTCGCTCCCTCCCCAAAGGAACTACAACCTCAGCCATGCATAACATCAACAGCTGAGGCACAGTTGAATAACTTGGTGAATAATTTGGTATTATACATTTGGGTAAATATTTATATAATACAAATGGTGGTGTTACACACAGGTCACTGACCCACATCAGGGCCTTGGGGGGGGGGGGTATAATAATAATAATAATAATAATAATAATAATAATAATAATAATAATAATAATAATAATACACCTTTACACATATCTGTTGAGACATTGTTACACAACTATTTGACAAATTTCATAACCGAATGACAGACAACACGTATCGCATCTGACGGTCGGTAGTCAGGTCAGAGGGTCACCTTACCCTCTGACCTGACTACCGACCGTTGCGGTACTATTTAAAAATTAGTAGGGTCATTACCTAATACCTGACCATTGTGGACCCGATCTCACCCTCCTCTGTATATAAGAACATAAGAAAATAAGGAGTCTGCAATAGGCCGGTTGGCCTGTGCATGGCAGCTCCTGTCGAGAGTTACTACCACTCTCTATCATCCATGAATCTATCTAGCCTCCTTTTGAAACTTTCCAGAGTTCCCGCACTTACTACAAAGTTGCTAAGCTTGTTCCACTCGTCCACCACCCTATTTGTGAACCAGTTTCTTCCTATCTCCCTCCTAAACCTAAACTTATCCAACTTGAATCCGTTGCTCCGAGTCCTATCCTGCTCGGATATTATAAGAACTTTATCTATATCCCCTTTATTGATTCCTTTCACCCACTTAAATACTTCTATCATATCTCCCCGCACTCTTCGTCTTTCTAGGGAATGCAAGTTAAGTTTCTTTAACCTATCCTGATATGGAAGGTTTCTAAGTCCCTGAATCATTTTTGTCATTCTTCGCTGCACCGACTCTAGTGAATTTATATCCATTCTATAATAGGGGCACCAGAACTGAACCGCATAATCGAGGTGCGGCCTAACTAGCGCAAGATATAGTTGCAATAAGACCTCTGCACTCTTGTTACTTACACTTCTAGATATAAAACCCAATACTCTGTTTGCCTTATTTCGAACATTAACGCACTGTTTTCTAGGCCGTAGGTCCGGGCTTACAAGTACCCCTAGGTCTCTTTCACAAGTCGACTTCTCTAGGTTGATGTTGTTCAGGCTGTATACATTATAAGTATTTGTTCTTCCAATATTAAGTACGCTGCACTTGCTGGTGTTGAATTTCATTTGCCATTTTTCAGACCACCCCTGCAGTTTATTTAGATCCTCCTGTAATGCATTTGCATCCTGCCCTGAATTAATTTGCCGCCCTATTTTGGTGTCATCCGCAAACTTGCTTATGTCACTGCTGATCCCAGTATCTAGATCGTTTATGTAGATTATGAACAAGAGTGGGCCTAGTACTGACCCCTGGGGAACCCCACTGGTTACACGGCCCCACTCAGATTTAACACCATCTACGCTGACCCTCTGCGTTCTATCGGTGAGCCATGATTTTATCAATTTAAAACTCCCCTCGATACCATGAGCCTTAATTTTTCTCAGAAGCCTCTGATGCGGTACTCTGTCAAATGCTTTGCTAAAGTCTAAGTAAATAACATCGTAATTTTCGTCATTATCTACTACCTCGAAGACTTTCCTAAAAAACGTTAGCAGATTTGTTAGACAAGATTTTCCCTTTGTAAACCCATGTTGAGAGTCGTAGATTAATTTGCTTTTCTCTAGATGCGATCGGATGCTATCTGCTATAATTGATTCAAGAAATTTCCCCACAACTGACGTCAAACTGATCGGCCGGTAATTTGACGCTGATGCTCTGTCTCCCTTTTTAAATATGGGTACTACATTCCACACCTTCTTTTGTACTTCTCTTTAGTCTGTACTCACCCATGAAGATGTGAATTACACGAAAACTTCGTGTTTTCTTTTTTCCTTGTGGTTATCAGCATATATATATATATATATATATATATATATATATATATATATATATATATATATATATATATATATATATATATATATATATATATATATATATATATATATATATATATTTCAGTGAAATTTTAAAACATAAGTATAATGGGGGAGCAGTACAACCTGGGTTGTACAGTAATAAGGTTGAACAAGAGGACAGATCTTTCAGGATTATGTCTAGTTGGCAATTATGTTTATTGCGGTGGTAATTACTTATTTATTTTCATGATAATTTCCGATAAAACGGTTTTGATGGTACAATAAAAGCAGGTACTGTAAATATAGTAAGTGTTACAAGAAATATTAATACTTCGACAATAGATATTTTTTTAGAGATGATTTAAAGGAAGGGAGCGTAGTCTTTGCTGGGATGTGTTGGGGTGAGTTGTTCCACACCCTTACACCATAATATTTTATGGAGGTCTGGGGCTGAGAGGAGTGCATGGGGGTGGTCTTAGTAGCTCTGGGTGCCTTAAGTTGTATCTGATTATTCCGGAACTGGAAATAATTATTGTCAAGCAAGTGATTGATAGATTTGTAAACAAATAGGGCACAGCAGTAAATAAGGTCAACACATTATGCTCCCAATATCTTCCCAGGCGGTAGTACCTCCCTGTTTGATAGCTGCCTACTACCCATAATGTTACCGAGAGCTAAAAATGTGAATCCAAGCTAAAGGTGGCCATTTTGAACATTTATTTTTAGAATAAACTATACACACTTACAACACTTATTCAATAAAACATTGTAATTGTGTGTAAATCACTTTAAAATGTTCAGCTGTTGAGAATCTGACCCATATTAATTCATAGAATCGTTTTTGACTGGAAATGACCTCAAATATAAACTCCTTGAAGTATAAAATCATTGAACACCCTCATATTGTACCTGTGATTTAATCTAAGGTCACCTGGTGTAAGTACTCAAGCCTTAAGACAATATAATAATAATAAGATCATATATTTGTCTTACAGAGTCTCGGGGGTAACATCATGACCAGCTCACCCATCAGTGACCTCAACCCTATACTGCTGGCTGGCGGGGCGTCCCTAAACTTCACCAGTCTCCGTGAGTTCTGGTTCACATTATTGGAATAATAAAAAAAAATCACTATGTCGGTGATACAGCGGTAGTAGAGATGCCTTGTGAATAGAAACTGCTTTATTTTGATTTGGTTGTCATTAGTCTACCGTCTCTATCTATCCTTTACTGATGCGTTTAAAAATTATAAAGATAGAATTAAACTTGTGATATCTCTGGGCTCTCTGGGTGTTATAGAGGGAGGAGAACGGCGGGTAGTGATGGACGACAAGTTCTTCACAGGCTACAGGAGGAACGCTGTTCGTCCCACAGAAGTATTGGTGTCCGTTCACGTCCCCTTCACATGCCAGGTACAGTACGACGCAGCTCCTCTACACCTACTCACTCAGGACTGATATCGGAAACTTACCATTGAACCCAATGACCTCAAAGACATAATGAGATAAAAAAAACATTCCAAGTTTGCATTTTATGATGGTTATTTAAAGTATACGAGAATTGGGTTAGTACAGCACGTCAACTAATGTAAGTCCATTCGTCTCGACCACCTGAACCACGAACAACAAGATTCTTACTTGTGAACCTGAAGCAGTAGAATGATACATTATGCTGTCCATAAATGCTTCGGATTCAAGAGTTTGAATCTCGGGGTTCGTGGTTCAATTCAGGGGAAGAATGGAGAACGGACTTGTACACATCACACACACCATAATAGTTCGGGAGGTGAGTGAGGGAGTGTACCAGCATATTAAAGTGACTCTGGATGGTTGCAGGAGGAACACATTCAGTCCTACAAACAGTCCCGTAGACGTGATGACGACATTGCCATCGTTAACGCTGCCATGAAGGTGAGGATGATCCCACACACCACCACCGTCCACCATCTCTCTCTCGTCTTCGGTGGGATGGCTGCCACCACCGTCATAGCCCCTAATACCATGAAGGTTGGTCCACCGTAAGGGTTGCTGGTCCACTATAAATGTTCTCGGTCCACTATAAAAGTTCTTGGTCCACTATAGAGGTTCTTTGTCCACTAGAAATGCTCTTGGTCCACTAGAAATGCTCTTGGTCCACTATAAATGTTCTCGGTCCACTATAAAAGTTCTTGGTCCACTGTAGAGGTTCTTGGTCCACTAGAAATGCTCTTGGTCCACTAGAAATGTTCTTGGTCCACTAGAAATGTTCTTGGTTCACTATAAAGGTTGTGGTCCACTATAAAGGTTGTTGGTCCATTAAGAAGGATGTGGTTCGTTCCTGATAAAGATAATTCAGCGGTAGTTTCTCGCCAGTTCACCAAACTGTTGAATGCGCATAGACATTAAAAGAATATTCGAAAATAAATTGTTACTCGTACATTTCAAGAAATTTATACAAAATTTCTTCTTTTTATTCATCCAGGAAGTAAGAAATAACATGTCTTGTGAAGATTATACATTTTGTGCATTTTTTTTTACGGTAAAACTCACTGGTACGTATTATATTTTTAACAAGCATTACTTCACATTTTTAGGTTAGGTTTCAAATTGGTTTTATTCTGGTGTAATGAACCTTCACATAATGCAAGCTTGATCTTGGTTTGTATTTCCTTCATAAACACCTACAGTACAGTGAAACCTCCATAAGGTGGAGGGTTTCACATCTGACGGACCCTCGATATAACAGTCATGTTCTCTTAGGAGTTGGTGGGTTGTTCCTGGGATGATTCACTACTGCCGAAGGCGACACAGCTGCTACTGGAGGACCTGCCCCTTGACCCTTCGGCTCCAGGAGGGATGGTGGAATATCGTCAAGCTCTCACTCTGAGGTACAAGAACACCTTACCGTCTTAACTTAGTATGCTTAGTAGTGTTCTGGACGAAGGCTCCCTAAAGTTACTCTACTTTATAGCGGGCGGGCTGCTGGTGACATGGACATCTTGAACTGCCCGGCATTTGTCCAGTCTATTCCTAGAGGTTGACACAGACTGCTACTTATTATTGTATGACCATGTGACTAACAACTCATACAACATTATGGGAATTTGTGTTGTTTCATCTTGGTGTGTGTGTGTGTGTGTCACGATGCTGTTCTCTGCACTTTTCCTGTATCTGGCAGACAAGAAAGGTCATGTCAGTGGTGCCAGGTGATGGTCTAAAGCCACATTGAGATTCTGGGAAGAAGTTTTCCACCCCAGGAAGAAGTCTGCTTAGGAAAACTCGGGTGATAATTTTTCCAGCTATGGACAGCAGGTAGATCCTGTTGTAGTTGCCACACTCTGAAAGAGAATCTGAGTCTAATGTACAGTCTCATTCAAGATTCTTCGAACACTGCTGGAGACATCTGGCAACTCAAGGCCATTTGTATACTATAGTACGTAGTAAAAATTATGAATGAATATAAAATTTGATCGGTGATTGGTTACTTCGTACCCCGTTGCTTAATTAATGGTTAGGCTTTGTTGTTTTGTATTATATTATACTACGTACTATAGTAAACGAAACACCTTGAGTTGCCAGCTGTCTCAAGCAATGTTTGAAGAATCTTGAACGAGACTGTACATTCACTTTAAGGTCGAAGTGTGCATACACATCTGCATAGGAGTTAAAGATCTTCTGTTGGTTGCATTCAATGTGAGCGACAAGGGTGAGGTTGTCAGCATACTGAAGTTCGGTGATGGAAGCGGCTGACACCTTTGTTCCTGCCTCGAGTCATCGTATGTTGAAAAGGCCCTTCATCCAGTACTGGATGTCCACCCCGCCGGCTAAATTTGCACTGGCACGAGTAAGGAAGGCAGCTAAGAAAATGTAAAAGAGAGTTGGTGCCAGTACACACCCTTGTTTTACCCCCGTTTGGATGGGGAAGAACTTAGACTGGGTGCCACTGGGCAGGACACTGCTGTTCATGCCATTGTGGAGTTGACTCACAATGACGATGAATTTTGGTGGGCAGCCAAAATGGCTGAGGGTCCGCCAGAGGGCTTCCATTTTGACTGAGACGAAGGCCTTAGTGAGGTCGATGAAGGCGAGACATGGGTCACATACAGGAGGCACCTCAAGGCACTTGAAAATTTCACCAACGTAGTTTGTCACATTCTAACTAATGGTAAACGTAATGCTGGCGGGCAACTGAAAATGTATAAGGAAAGTCTTAAGAAAAACCTGAAAATGTGCCAAATTGACCCCCTCACCTGGAAGGTGATCACTCCACACCCTAATGCTTGGAGGAGTACGACACAAGGTGTCAATACTTTCAAGTTTGTCTGACAGCATATTGAGGCAGTCAAGCGCCACTGCTGGAAAGACGCTGCCGCCGCCCCTCCCACACTTGATGTAGCCCTCCACATGTGCAACATCTGTGGACGACCTTGCCAATCCCGTAAGGCCTCTCGAGTCACCTCTGGGCTTATCAACGAAGGTGACAACTTTAATAACTCATATCATTGTATCATAGCTGAATGATCGTCATACTCGATTCTGATTGACACCAAAGTAGTAGTACATAGTAGTAATAGTAGTAGTGTGTGTGTGTCTTGAGCAGCTTAAAACTTTTACCATCATGTGATCTCTGTGATAGCCAGCTTCATGAGTATATTATCCCTTGTAGTATTTTGAAGGCCTGGCTCACACCTTTCAGAAGGTCTTTGTAACTCATTATTTTCACCAAGGGCTATCAAGCATTGTTATTCACACAAGTGAGTTTTATATAACCTCCTGAAGGACAAACGGATTACTTAATTCCCAAGTTAATGCGATGCTTATCTGTCTGAAACTTTGTAAGAATATATCAAGTTTTTATGCATGAGATATTTTAAATTTTTTAGCTACTATGTATTCAGTATTATATTGTTATGTTTACTTAATCTACGCCCTTTATTCTGTTGGCCTTTTCTTGATATACAGTAGAACACATCACACAATTATTATTTTTTTTGTATATGTACTGTATGTCACATCGGTAACCTAAATGGTTTATTGTGCAGCTTCTTCTTCAAATTTTACCTGAGCGTGCGAAGGTGGCTGAGTGAGTGTGTGCCGGCCCAGGTAGACCCACTCACTGAAGACCAGCTGACCGCCATCAGGCTCTACCACAGGCCTGCCACCTCTACCTCCCAGACCTTCCAGCAGGTGGGGGGGGCTTGGGGGCTATATCTTAGTTATACTTATGATAGTTGTACGAGCAGGTAAGAGCATGTTTTGGTCCATCAAGCAGGTGGGTACGTTTTATTTTAGTCGTTCCTGCAGGTGAACTCTCGAGATGTCCTGCTAAGAGTGAACTCGTTGAAGACTTGTATGCAGATTTGGGGAAGTGTAAGGTTTATGTTGATGAGTTTTCACCACTATTTGTAAGGTGGACTTGTTTGGGTGCAAGTCACAGTGCTTCTTCAAGGGCAGATCCAGGGATATCAAAAGGGGGGTCCAAGAAGTTGTGGGTGGGGGAACAAGGTGAGCGCAGTGAGCCCACCCAGCTTGGGGGATTTGGGGGGTCCTGTAAGCCCCGGCTAATTTTTTTAAATCTGACCAATATCATGGGCATTTTGATGCCATTCTGAAGCCATGTGCCCTTGATATTAGGAGATACTCTAAAGTCAGTAGTAAATACTTTTTACTATACAAAAATGACTGAGTACAATAGTGCATTAAAGAAAAAGTATTGAAATTTTCTGATGAAAAGAGAGAGTCCAGATCCCCCCCTGGATCCGCCCTTGCCCTTGAGTGACTGTTGATCATCAAATGTTAGTCGAGAGGCGGAAGAGCGAGGCGGCTTGTTGCATCTTCGTAGTGGTTGGGAATTTCTACCTTTATTTCCTTTCGTAAAGCCTACTGTATGTTCATCATTGTATGGGCACATCCACATGTTTCATTAACTTGTAGATTAGTAGTGAAGTAGATTGTGTGATTATATTTCTAGTTTGTTATATTGATGATTTATATACTGTAAGTGAATATAGATATATTGTATAAATATTTGTGTGTACATTTTGCATTTCATTTCTTTATGTTGGAGCTATGCACTACAACGTGACTTGCAAAATTAAGAACTTGGTTGTTTCGCTGTATCGAAGATAGTCTTTATATAATTGACTTTTTATAGATTGTATTTACATGTATTTTGATTTACTCTTTGTTGGTAAATGGGAATAAAATTTGGATTACAAAGGATTAGAACCTGGATTACTAAGAGTTCGACCTCATTGCAACCCCAGACTCAACAAGGTACTTCAGTTAAACAAATATAGATGCAACAAACTCAAAAAGGCCTTAGTAATACAGTATTAGTCTTTCCAAGATTGTTCATTGTATCTTTTGAGTTTATGAAGGATTGTGTTTACTTATCAGCTTGTGTATTGGAGTGTTGAAGTACTGTACTGATGCAGATTATTTAACTCTTGTGTCTTGGGGACCACCAGGTGCCAGAGGACCAAAAGGAGCATGACCTCGTAGGCCGGCCAGTGGTTCACACCTCCGCTTACAAACAGACGACAGGAGAGGCTGTTTATGTGGACGACTTACCCCGCCTGGAGAATGAGTTACATGCTGCCCTCGTTATCTCCTCCCGAGCCCACGCCAAGATACTCAGTATTGACGAGACACACGCCCTCGAGCTGGAAGGCGTGGAGGCATTCTTCTGTGCCCGAGACCTACCTGGTGGGTGACTTTTTCAAATGTTAAAATGATGAGGATTCTATCTGTAGAGTATACCGTGGTTGTGGAAAAAATTACAATTCTTTTATGTTTAGGCAATTTGGTCTATAAAAGGGGATGTTTTGTTGAAAAAAAAATGCTATTGGAAATGTGAAGAAAACATACAGGGATGAATTAAAGACAAAAAACATTGTTGGTGGTATACACAGCTTATAAACGTATATGATAGAGAAAATGGATATTCATTATTATGAACCAATGTTAACCCTAAATACGAAACTCTTGGAAGACATTTATGTACTCTATCGGAGAGAAATTTTCCTCCATTAAATCAACAATTCTAACTGACCAGGTGAAATGAATGTGACGGGTGTGGCGACCATGGATGACCAGGTGTTCGCGAAGGAGAAGGTAGAGTGCGTGGGGCAAGTGGTGGGGGTGGTGGTGGCTCGGGACCACGCCAGGGCACGACAGGCTGCTTCACTTGTCCGTATCTGTTACCAAGACCTCAGCCCCCCCATCATTACTATTGAGGTAAAATGCATTTTGATTATAGATATTATGTAGATACTGCATAAGGAAACTTCTTATTTGAAATAAATATTTACTATTAATCTATTACCTATCACCGAAAAACAAAAATGGCTGAATGTTATTTTCTTGAATACAGTAATTGTTCAAGAAAATAAAATTTCCTATTTATTCTAGTTGTGTATAGAAGAGCATATGTGGCATTTATGTCTAAGGCTTCATACACCTGTGTCTCTTTACCTTTAATTAAGGATGGAACAGAGTTAACAAATATGAATAAATTGATAGAATAGATGGTTGAAATATAAATGTTTGCTTGTGCTGGACAGGATGCTATTAAAGAGGAGTCGTGGTGGGGGCCGTGGACCATCAGGCGAGGCAGTATGGAGGACGGGTTCAACATGGCCACTAACACCCTGGAGGGTGAGATGCGCATTGGGGGACAAGAACACTTCTACATGGAGACGAATTCTCACATCGCTGTCCCTAAGGGTGAAGACGGCGAGCTTGAGATGTTCTCGTCCACCCAGAACCCTTCTGGAACCCAGCAACTGGTGGCAAAGGCCCTGGGACTCCAAGCCAATAGGGTGGTGGTGCGAGTGAAGAGGCTTGGCGGGGGTTTTGGTGGCAAGGAAACCCGAACTAGTGTTGTTAGTGTACCTGTCGCAGTGGCTGCTGCTCGGTGAGTCTGTCTTTACATCTTGAGCATAATATATTACAGTACAGTACTGTATTGTTAAATGCACATTCAGAAGAAAATAGATTAATCTTATGAACAATGTGTGGCGTGGTTATGTTGTGGCACAGGTGTATTGATCATTTCGGAAATCATCGGACCCAATGTGCAGATAGTTTTTTGATCGTGTGTACAATAGATCCTGTAAGTCAGAGGAAACAATTACAGTGAAAGAATATGGTGGTGTTGGCTTGGTGCAATGTTTTGCTCACTTTAATTCAGAATTAAATACAAATAAGAATCAAATAGAGAAACTTAAAAAAAAATGGTCTGTGTATCATTTTCCTTCTAGGCTAAACAGGCCGGTGCGTATCTGGCTGGAGCGTCATGAGGACACGCTGGTGACAGGAGGGCGGCATCCCTTCCTGTGCAGGTGGAAAGTAGGGTTCACTCCAGATGGACGTCTTACCGCCCTCCAAGCTCACATTTACGTTAATGCTGGCTGCACTCTCGACCTGTCTACCTTCCTTGTGCAAAAGGCTCTGTTTACATTTGACAATGCCTACAAGTGAGTTGACTTTTTAATACAGTATTAAGATTTCAAAGGCACTGTACTACTGTAAGATAAATACTAGTATACAAAATGTAACCTCATGAGAGTGAATCATCTTATATCACTTGTAATAGTTTTATAAATTGAAGTAAAAAATTATACCCTGTACTACTCCACCTGCCACTAGGGTCAGCATGGTAAGATTCCCACAGTAAGCATCACATTTACAAGCTAAATTGAAGTGAGATCTCTGTGGTGTGCAGCTACAACTTAAGTCTGATTACAGTGATTAATGTCCACCACAGCTGTTCCATTTCCTATTCTTAATTTACTTGCTATTTTTACAATATAGTATATGATTCAGGACAGAATGAGATTACATAGTCTAAAATCTTTGTCGTTACATCTTTATGAACGAAATAAAAAGCTGATGATTTTTCGTACTACTGTATTGTGATGAGTTAAAGGTATAAAACTTAGAGGCATCTCATTAAAAACTTCTTGCAGCCCTGTTAGAAATTCGGAAGTACTGTGAAGGTTGGAACCCAAAGTAATATTGTACGATAAGAAAACTCACAGAAAAGTAAAAACAGCAAAAATTTGGGTTTAGGTCCTTTTTTTATTTTTTACCCTGTCCACAACTTGGGGAGGGTATCGTTTTCGGTCCTGTTTGTCGGTGTCCCTAGAGTGACCCAAGAACAGGTTTGTGAATTTGCATCAAACTTTGTAGGTTTGGTTAACATATGACAAGGTCCATATGATAAATTTTGGTGTAAATTACTAAAAAATGACCAAGTGTTGCAATGGTAAGGGTTCACACAATAATAACACATATTGTTCAGGTTTTTTGGGTGTTAGAGAAAATGATGACATGAGGCAGTCTCTAGCGGTGACTACATTAATTTATAGCATGGTAATGGTTCAGGGGCAGGGTTTACATCTGTTCACATGATATTTAATCTTGAATGGTCTCGCTCGTCCATTTACAGTATTTAACTATTCTTATTATGTTAAGTACCGGTACCTGTATGAGGGAATTCATTAGTGGAAAGAAGTTTAAAGGATTTATTGAATGGAATGTTATATAGTATTAATTAATATAAAATATTTGCAGCAGTTTTTATAAATTGACTAATACAAGTATTTATATTCAGCATCCAGAATATGTGTGTGACGGGTTATGCTTGCAAAACAAACCTCCCGTCTAACACCGCCTTCAGGGGTTTTGGGGCACCACAGGCTGTCATGTTCATCGAAGACATAATATCCCAGGTGGCAGCCTTTCTCAAAATGGACCCTGTCCAGGTAAGCTGCCATTAAGTATCCTGGTAGATCCTAGCCAAGTAGGTCACCATGGCCCTTGTAGCTGCTCCTGCTAACCAGATATATTACTACGACCCAGATACAGCACAGTAGACCCTGTAGTTTGGTACTTTATGTCTTGAACACATGAAAAAGAATTCCTAAACTGATGTTTGTTAACAGTAATCTATCGCCAGCTTACTGCATGGTAGTAAACATTAATATTTACAATGATTTATTCTTATTTAATCTCAAATAAACCTTATGGAAGCAATACAGTATATAGATTATATTCATGTGAAAATATTTCTTTATTCGTGGATATGAACTGTATGCAGAAAAGGAGAAAAAATGTATTCTAAAAAACAATATTTCGGAGGTGAACATTTACTCACATCCTATCTTAGCTGAAAACCTAACCTGTCTCACTTACCTCAGATACAGGAGAGGAACATGTACCAGGCAGGGAATAAGACCATCGTAGGGTACAGACTAGACCATTGCACCATCACTCGCTGTTGGCGTCAGGTTATGGACACTTCCCTTGTCCACGTCCTCAAAGCCTCTGTCCAGAAGTTCAACCGGTAGGTCTGACTTTTACCCATTATTCATTGATATTAACTGTCTCTGATTCTAGCTTTTTCTCTCACTTTAACCCATATTCTGATTTTTAAGTTTACTTGATATTTTAAGACACATCTGTAACTCACTTTATCCTACTTTTCACCTGAATGTTAAGTTCCCTAATCAAAGGCTGTTGAAGGAGATATACTGTTTCACCCAGTAACTACTATTACTTTTACTACAGGCTGTACTACTTTTACTACTACTATTAACTAAGTTCTAACTCCAGTACAACTAACTATTACTAACTGCTAAATAACTAATTTCTGTAGTAGTATCTTACTGTCTTGCTATTATCAGTCAGTCTCTTGCACATGAATCTTTAACCATTATTTTTTATTCAACTTATTATAGTGAGAACACGTATAGGAAGCAAGGACTGGCAGTCACTCCAGCACAGTTTGGAATAGCATTTGAGCGCTTCTTTAACCAGGCCGGGGCGCTGGTGCACATCTACACCGACGGCTCCATCCTGCTCACCCACGGTGGCATCGAGATGGGCCAGGGACTCCATACAAAGATGATCCAGGTAACCCTCATCTGTCTTGATGGTGTGTTAGTGATGATGTCAGTGGCTAGGTGGCAGTACAGTATTTAATGGCCAGGCTGTGCTGTTTGAGCCACAATTTTACTGAAATCACAATAATGTTTTGTTTAACTTGTCATTTAATTGCAAATCTGTATTCTCCCTTTACTTTTCTTTCTCTCTTTGTTTGTCTCTTGTTGTCCCTCCCTCCCTGTAACTCACAAGCTTTAAATTTTTCCTCACTATGCCGTGTGTGTGGAGAGCAGATAGCATCCCGGGTGTTGGGTGTGTCGGCTGAGAACATCTACCTGAGTGAGACTGCCACTGACAAGGTGCCCAACACCACCGCCACCGCTGCCTCCGTCTCCACCGACCTCCTTGGCATGGCCGTCATGGTAAGAAAGTCCTCGATATATTCACACATTTACCTCCACTTCAGACATCACACACCTGTTCAAACTACACATATCTCTGTCAAATACCAAATACATTATTGTACTGTATTTATAATATAGGTCCAAGCACCGTATACTGTATCTACATCAAGCACCATAGTCTGAGTCAAACACTGCTCATCTTCAGTACAGGGGTATAGTATACAGTAAACTCTCGATAACTCGGTATTTCATATAACTAGGCATGAATATGGTCTCGGAATGTACAGGTATTAGTAGTATAACTCGGGAAATGCCGAGATATATAAAATTACTGTAGCTGGGAAAATTTTAGCATATCTGGCCACCTGCATCACCTACCATGCCTCTGTGTCTCCAACTATGAGGCTTTTTTCTGCTCCTGCAGTGATGGTAAGTGTTACTTTTTTTACATTTAGTAATTACATGCACACATATATGGGTTGATAATTTTTCATTGTTGTATTTTTGTAGGAGGGGCTAAATGCCTTGATAAGTTGGAATTTGGGATAACTCGGCAAGGCCAGAGCCCCATATGTGCCAAGTTATCGAGGGTTTACTGTAACTCCATCCATCTACAAGAACTTCAAATGCTTTTGTGTGATGTACCGTATATAGTATGCCAAGCACTACAGCTGACACATATTGCACCTGCAGAAGGCGTGTAATGAGTTGGTGTCGCGCTTGCAGCCCTATGTAAACAAGGACCCTGCAGGCACCTGGAAGGACTGGGTGAATGCTGCATACTTTGACCAGGTCTCACTGTCTGCCACCGGCTTTTACAAGTAATGTACAGTTGTTACCACTTTGTTGTCACTATTGCAATGCCTCATACATTTACTGCAGTTTTTATACTGAACTGTGTAGTAACAGTTGAGAACAGGGGCCTGGGTTAACCAGCCACCAAGAGAAAGCTTTTATACAAGAAAATTTATTCCTTATCTTAAGAATAAATCAAATCGGACAGAGGAATTACACTCTTCATATTTTTTTCTTGTTTCCCAGCAACCTTTCCATACAAACTGAAATATTAACACCCTAATCTAACCTTAGTGTACTCAGCCAAAAGTACAGAGCAGGTACAGAATATAAAATAAACTTGACAACAAAAGCATAGAGAGGTGGTGAGAAATGCAACAGGTACAGTTGATATATACTGTACAGGTACTTATTAATTATATAAAACATTACTGATATACTTTATATATAATTAATGCTAATAGAATAATCATTAACATACTTCTTATACAATATATTTTAGTTTTGTTTTGTTTCTGTTTTCAGAAATCCATGCATAATAGACTTCGACTTTGAGACCATGACAGGTCGACCCTTCAACTATTATGCCGCTGGTGCTGCTGTTACCAAGGTGGAGGTGGACTGTCTCACTGGCGACCACACAGTAAGTCATCACCCATTTACCTTGATAACCCCAATTCTCTTTTTCTATTGCCTCCTTATCATCATTCTTCCACTTCTTCAACATTATTCCCCATCCTTGGTAAAGTCTCCACCCACACTGTTGTCCCATCCTCACTATCAGTATTGTATCACCAGCCCTCAACCTCATTAATGTTTGCCCCATTTCGTGTCTCGCACAATACTAATACATTAAGAGAACTGAATTATGATATAAGAGAACAGAATATGAGGTCAGTCTGTAGATGGGAAGAATATAATCCTTTAAGTATAATATGTACAGTACTTTATATGTTGTTTTTACACTTATTTTATTGTACATGTGATGAATTTCCAATAATATTAATCAGCCAACTCCAGGAATCCACTGAAACAAATGTAGGTTGTGCTCAATCATTGGGTTAAAGGTACAGTACTGTATTGAGGGAAACAAAGGGTTTAACATGTGTCTGCAAGGTGAGAGGGATGTCAGTGTATGGAAAATGAGAGCTGTTCTATTACCCAAATTTAGTCTAGAATCTGTGCCATAGACTTGATGGGACCCAACCTGCTACTGAGTAAAGTCCTCTGAGGTGTAAATCATGTTGGGTATTGATCATTTTCTCTTTTAGATCCTGCGGACAGACATCGTGATGGATGTGGGAAACTCCCTAAACCCAGCAGTGGACATCGGGCAGGTGGAGGGAGCTTTTGTGCAGGGTACAGGGCTGGTCACCATGGAGGAACTATGCTACTCCCCCGAAGGCGTCCTCCTCACGCGAGGCCCTGGGGCATACAAGATCCCAGGTAAAACATATCTTGTACACCCCTCCATTCTTTACAGTAGATATCTCCTAGAATCTCCTCCATACATTTATATTTACTCATAAATACTTAACCCATCAAAAATATTTAGTGTGGCATAACTACTAGTCAGGGAGTGTTGAATAGGGTATCTTACATAAGCTGCTCATATATGCAGTGTTCATTTGGTTTAGTTCACTCAAAACTACAAAGTTCATCTTTATATACTTAGAGTTCATTGATATATCATAAATGAGATTTTCTTGGTTCATAGGTGTACCATTTATTTTACTATAATATATTACAGTATTTAATGATCAGAAAGCATTGATATCTGTTTAAATTACTAGAGCATCACCTTTTGGATGCATAACTGGCATGACACCACCATAACTCTGTAATTTAATGCATCACAAATATTTTGCACGAAGTTCATGAGCATTTCCCATTTTCCTAGTTCATAAAATTCACACAAGGAACACTAATATTCTAGAAGTTTAAATTATGACAACTTTAGAATGCATGGATAAAGTGAGTGGAAGCAGGAAAAGGCTTGAGGAGGGGGTTACAAATAGAATATAATGATAATACAACACAGTAATAGGATCAAGTGGTATTTTTGGTAGTTGATTGGCTAGTAAAATTCAGGCCAGTGTTTAATTTTACTTCCAATTTTACCACAGGGTTTCAAGACATACCTTGTGAATTTCATGTTTCACTACTGAAGGATTCTCCTAACCCACAGGCAGTGTTCTCCTCTAAGGTGAGATGATAATGTATTATTGGTAGTATTCTCCAAGTTGGGTATTTTGTTTTCATATCTGTTTTTAACTACAAGCTGTAGAGATAGAACTTCATGTAAGCTCTTTATTCATAATTTGTGGTCAATAAATTATCTACCTATCTACTTATGGCTTCTTGGTGAGGATTCACAGTTGTTTCAAAAATGGTTTCATTAGTTGTAGACATTATTCTTAAAGTTATTTAATGAGGCTTGGAGTTTTGCTGTTGGTATATGTGTAGGGCAGCTTAGATATAAGAGCCTATAAAGCAGATGTGTTGTTTTTGGGACAGGGAGTGGGAGAGCCGCCACTCTTGCTGGCAGCATCGGTGTTCCAGAGCATCAAGGCGGCAGTGGGGGCAGCACGCCAGGACCACCACCTTGATCCAGTTTTCCGTCTAGATTCCCCAGCAACAGCTGAACGTATTCGTCTAGCCTGCCAGGATCCTCTCATTCACAAGGTGCTCTCTCTTTCTTGTCTATGTTTGTGTGTAAAAGTGGATCCAAGATTGTTCAAGGGAAGGGGGTTCACCTGACACTAGATATAGGTTGACTGACCTCAGAAGTTAAGATTTTATTGCTCTGAGGTGTGTATGTGTGAATGAGGTTGTGTACTGTACAGTATATGTATATGAATTGAGTGGACTGTATGTCTGTGTGTGTGCAGGAAATATTTATGTTTGGTTCTGGTGAATGTACAATAAATATGATTGTATGTCCTGTGTTATATGGGTGGTATATTTATGATATAGGCTTTTTGTTTGTGTATGTGTTTTACCAAATTAATCTGTTTTTTATTTTACTTCAGGTAAAACTGCCAACTCACAAGACTACCAAGCCTTGGTCAGTTACTGTGTAGGTTAAGGAAGACAGAGATCCCTACCATTCACTGCCTGGCCAAACTAGTGCTAACTGTTACAACCTTTTTTCCCATTAACACTTAGGCCCACAGGTATGCAATGATATATTGTGTTTCTCAGCTTTTGTTGAATTTGGTAACTTATCCAGTACCCTTCAGAGTAATGGCTTCCACATGAATCACAAAATCAATATCTCAGGGTGATTAACATTACAGTTACCAATTTGTCCCGAGCCAGACAACCGAGTTACACTGCTGAACTATTATCATTAGATTAAAAGAAATGAAAGACAGTGGACATGAACTATTCTTGCAATACAGTGAAATTTATTGAACTCTAAGACAATTGATCTTCCGAGTTCGTAATTAATCAGACTGAATGCCATTTGATTTCTCTCGGGTACACTTTCTGGCAACAACTCAATTTGCAATTTTGATGCCATCTTCAGCATTAGTTTGAAGGATCACTGCTTAAGCTCAGTACTTGAATGACAGTTTTACTTCTGGTATGCATCTGCTGTCTTCCCTCATAGGATACTGCAATATCTGGTTTACTATTATGAGAATATTTTTTACCAGATGAAATAAGTTTGCATTGCCTTGTTACATGTCTGACCACTGCATTAATCTTGAACCAAGTAATAAGGTAAACTATGATATATAAGCTTGTATTTCTACTGTCATATTAACAACACCTGTAGAGACAATAGATAAGTCAGTAGTTCAAATGTTAAAGGAAGTGTTGGTTATACAGCAGATATAAAATCTTCATCTTTGCTGTCAGATTATCTCATTAGTTTTTTCTTTAGTTTATTTGCACACACTTACTACTCCATAATAGTGACTCATGAACTAAGTTATAATGAATGTTACTACATTTAGTGAAGTTAAGCAAGGGATGCCAGTAATGTTGTTCTACTTCCCATATGCACTGTTAATTGGTAATCACACTGGGGATTAAATATTTTTGTACTATTCCCAGTGAGGATTGCTCTTTTTATATACCGGTACATATACTAAATTAAAGACTCAGAATTTCCCTTCCGCTGGGTAAGGTATTAATAAGTATGGAAAACTAGACAGTGTTTCCACATAATTGTTGACAGATTTTCTACCAGGGTATGACTCCCTTCTCCTGTCACCTTGAGTCTCTATCACCACCAACAACTGAGTAGAATAGTCTTATAATTTTATTGTGAAAAGTATTATTATATTTCTAAGGCTTGTCTACCATAACATATTTCTATTAATACAGTATTTGGAAGAAGCACAATGGTCAAAATAGGCTTTAGTAATGTAATTATTCCCATTTATTTAAGACTTCACATAGGATATAGCAGTTTTCTATACTGTATTACAGGACAGTGACTTGCACTACACAGGGTTCTACAGTATGATTGAGAAAATTTTGATATAGTACAGTAATATCTCCGTTAGCCGGAATCCCTCAAACCCGGAACTCTCCGATAGCCGGAATTGAAATTTTCTCAAAATACCGAGAAAAAATTTCTGATACCAGGAAAATTCCGGGGATGTAGTGTTTTTCTGGGTTTGAGAGATGAAAATCAGGTGCATTTTCTGGAAATTCTGAGAAAAATTTCAATTACCTGGAAAATTCCGGGGACGAGGAAATTTTTAACTGCTTTGAGAGAGTCCTCTCGTTACCCGGAAATCTCTCATTTCTGGAAGTGCTCTGCACCAATTGTTCAGGTTAACGAGGATATTACTATAGTTCAGGTTCAGAATAAATCACTTCACTGGGGTCCTTGTGCTTAAGATAAGATATGGTTTAAATAAATCAGACTAGGTAATCAAGTGACTTTTTTAATAAATGTATGCATGATTATGAGAAATTCCTCTTTAATAGTACAAAAACAATTTAGCTTGGTATGAAAGAATAAAGTACAATACTGTATAGTGCATAACACAGCAGTACTATAACCATTTATATCTTCCATTGTTCAACAAACTAATTTCAAATCTGAAATTGGTTGCAGGCCAATCTATTGTTTCAAGCGATTCATTAGTGTATTAAATGTTTCATACCAGTACACACCGGGTATCTTTTTGTATTACACTTCATTGTGTGAAATTGTATCTTCATAAACGCAGATACATATGATCCTGAGTATCACTTCACTTTCCATATTGTGAGTGTCAAACATCCATCCCAAAATTTTTTAGGTGGTTATTACAGTACACCTTAAGAGAGATACAGTACATACCAGTATGAAGCCTTCCTTCATGGGAAAGTAGTAAACATAAATTATACTTCTCTTAACATAATGCAGGTGAAAGATGGTTTTATAACTGATGAATGTAGACTGATTTATCCCATCCGCATGTAACGAGAGACGTGGAATCTGTCCAGGTTAGTCCTCGGACAAAGTCGCTGTGGCGGTCATCCTCGTACCTGGAAAATTATCCCAATATCAATTGATTTATCTTACATAACACTATATCATTACAACCACACTATCTTAATTTATTTGCCTTCTCTTGCCTGTAACTTATCCAAACATTATATCTTGACACATCTCTGCTGATTGTGCAACAGATATTTATGAATTTTTAAGTACTGTACCTTATAAAAAAAAAAGGATACAGGCTTCTTCTTACCTATGTTTTATTTCTTCATTTTCAATATCAATAACCACAACTTTACTGTCATTTGCACACACAGCCACTTGGGATGGTCTGAAAAGAGTAAACAAAGAAAAAATTATCATCAAGCAACATGCAATGCCACACACATTATTTAATCTTTTTATTTACCTATTCACTTTCTCTACCCACTCCTATACATATTTAGTAGATGTAGCAAAGCAGAAACCTAAAGACTGGGATGAAACAGTCGAGAGAGAATTATACAGTACAAAATAACTAGAAATGCCTTTAAAAAATAAAAACACTGCACACACACACATTGCTATCCTTAGTTTACAAGAAAAGTGTGTAGGGTATTGTATAAAGTTAATCATAAAATTTCACAGATTACGGTACAAGTATAATGCTTCATAAATCGTTCACCCACTCGTCTCCTCATCTCATTCTCCCAGTACTGTGCATCACAATAAGTTCTGCATATTAAAATCTCTCTTCCCCCTCTCTCATGATATGTACCTTGATAAATTAATCCCTCCATAGTAATCCAAATCCAAAATGCTTCAAGCATCATTTCTCTATACAGTACTGTACTGTATATGTAATTTAATCTAAACAAGTCATGATTTTTTTCTTCTGTTTATACACTGATCCCAAGGTGAGTTTGTACACAGTTATTCTGAAATCAGTGTACAGTATCTATACTTGTACTTGAATATGTACCGCTTTTGTTGTTTCTGAATAAAAAAAAAAAGGGGGTGGGGCATCAAATGGATAATCACTCCAGAAATTCAGAATAAATAAATAACGACAGACTGACAAGCAAAAAAAAAACAGATATTTGATTTGACAGATGTAGATTCACTGCAAAAGCTCACCTTGCTTCTAATCACGAGCTAAAACTTATTAAAACTAAGACCAAGAGTAATAGAACTGGCCATAATAACATGACCACAAAGATAAAAATTGAAGCTCCTTGACAGTGACAGGTGGTGCTATGGATACAATCTAGGTTTTGAATATATAAAGCAGACAGTCTTGATTATTGACGATTCCCTTTTTGGGGGGTATTTTATATGACCCAAACTCGACTTAGGATATGGCGAACAGGCAACACTTATTGCTAATGCATTTAATTATTTGCAAGGAAGACAAGATAACCCATGTTATTGCTTTTCAAGTACAGTACCATATACTTAATAGTTTATGTTTAAAATCATACCTGGTTGGATTTGCCATTAGTCTGTAGAGTGGTCTATTAAAAGCTTGAAATGTATTAATGCTGTGGTTCAAATTTGTTGTACACCGCAGGGCAACATTTCCACTCTGTAGGCCTATCAAGAAATGATCTTCCCCAGAGCTGCCAGGATTTCCATTGCTTATCCATGTTATACATTCTGGCTTGTCATCCCAATCACGATATACACCTGCAGAGCAAACAGAAATTAACATTAGAGAATTATTACTACTCAATAAGTTGAGGTTAGAGTGAGGTATTTGTGTTGTTTCTTTATTCAGTGTGTTCATTAGACAACTTTACACCACAAAGATATTGTTTTATCTCCAACTTCATCTGGCATTAAAATTATAAACTACACAGTTGTGTATGAAGGCTGTTTGACTGTAGTATACAGTATAGGCTTACAAGAGGCAGGCTTCTGGCATCTTAAATCCCAAAGGAGAACATTCCCATCCATTCCAGAAGAGAGAAATAGTTGGTCATTTGATGGATGAGGAGAAACCCCAGTCACCTGCTGGGAGTGTGCTGGTGACAGAAGGCGGCTAACAACTGATGTTTCGCAATCCCATGTTCTTACGCTGGAAACAAAAAAGAAATCATCTGAAACAAATACATTTTAAACCTAAAAATAATAAATGTTAATCAAAGCCCCAATAAAAAATTATGAGTACGCAATTTTCTACATTTATTTGATGGTATTGGGTACACATAAATTATCTTACGTACTGCAGTTGCTTACAAAATTCCATCTTTTCGTTAACATTAGCGTGACTCTTACAAACAAACCGATTTCTTCCCTAGTTTGTTTGCTTTTCCCCTACACAGACTTCTTTCCCTATGTCAAAACTGTTCTTATATACATTTTCTTCAACGCTATAATAACATTACTCAACCTAAATTATGTAAACTTTACCTCCTTAAAAAAAATCCATTTCATCCAGACACAACTCATAAAACAAACATTAAAACAGATACATAACAAAAAATCCTGCTTGAACATTTATAATTCTAACCCATATCTTTCCTATAAAATTTTGTCCATTTTTCCTTAAGTCTTTGTTAATTATCTGTACATTATATTTGCTTTCTTCAATTCTTTTATCAACTTACTACTGCCATATTCCTCATGAAACCCTCCATGTGAGAATTAACACATAGTGAAACATTCTATTTAATGGACTCTATATGAAGAGGAAAGTCCATTATATCGAGGGTCTGTTAGACATAAAACCTCCATCTAACGAACTACAGAACAGTATACCTGTATTGAGATGAAAGTCTGTTATACCTTGGGTCCATTAGATATAAAACCACCATCTTATGAACTATATTGAGATAAAAGTCTTTCATAATGAGGGTGTTAGATGTGACCCCCCCCCCCCAGTTACTGTTTCCATGGAGAAAGAATTACATTATATGGAGGTTTCACCGTACTGTATAGCCCCTTCAGTACTACTACTTTATATATCCATTACCATTGTTTCAAATCACCTCATATCTGCAGATCCAGTCAGAGCAGTTTTTCTATTGCATGTGACCTTCACGCAGGTAATGGCATCGAGGTGCTCCTCCACACGACAAACGCTTAACATCATAGTTTCGTTCTCCTCGGTTGATATTTTCAAGAATTCTACAGAGCCACAGTCCTGAAATAAGCTGTTAGTTTATATTCAAACAAGCGATGACATTTATTACATTGAGAAATATTTCATGAGTACTGAATCCTCTACTCTCAAATCAGCCAATACCCTGAAAAAATGTACATTTCCTTACACTGTACATAACTCGACAATAAAAGTCATATTTCAACATTCTAAAAAAATATCCAGTATATTAAAACAGTAATATGAAAAGAACAGTGTATACAATCAGATTTGCTACCCAGATGCAGTTATTATATGAATGTGAAATATGTACTGTACTTGTGGACTTGTGGAAATGAACATCAGCCAGAGAGAAATGAAAGGGTATCTTTTAGGTCTCTCACACACACACACACACACACACACACACACATATATATATATATATATTTAAAGACTGGATGGAAAAGACATAAGAAATATTTGGAAATGACTGAAGCTGGTGTGTGATATTAAGTTGTAAGGGTAACAGGGATGAAACAGTATTTTAAATCTTGGGACCCCAACAACCAAGACACTATGGTTGGACACCTGTTGCAGCAACTACCATATAAAAGACAATGACATCAATGAATAGAAAAACTGTACTGCATTTTCTCTCGATTCCAGCCACCCTACAGCGTAAAGGGGAAAAAATGCACAAGTAGGGAATATGGAATGTTAATAAGCACAATTTCTTACTTGTCCGATTAGAATTGTTTTTTCGTCATCAAGAAATACTCCATCAGCAACACCCGAGCCAACTTCATATCCAACAAGACATTTTTCCACGTTCGGGGCAAGTGCAGCATCATCGTAATACCAAAGGGATCCTCCCCAGTACCGACCATTCAGATTACTACTTCCCATGAGAAGGTGCCCATCTGGATCAAAGAGAAATATAATTATGAATGCACTGGGAAAAACTAATAAATCTGTTCATAATCTTCACTCCATTCACATCTACACAAAGTTAAATCAGTGTATATTAATCATAACAAGACTAAAGATAGTACAGTATATAAAATTACAAGGAGCTATGTAAATAATTTATAACTATTATGTGTAGTACTGTACTGTATAATAATCCCAAGTACAGTAATCTTTCTGTTAGCCAGAACTCTCCATTGCCTTGAATTTTTTGTGAGCATTCTGAGAAATTCTAGGAAAAAAATCTCTGCTCTGGGCATTCAAATGAATCTTCAAGCATGTGGATGGATAGGTTCAGAGTACTCATGAGTTCTGTGACTGCATGGGATGCCTATGATAAGCAAATGTATCTTGCAGCCAATCTCCTCTTAGCTCACTGTCTGCTGCCATTTGTACAAGCCTGTTTGCAAGCTCACTACTATTTTCACATTTTTCATGTATGATGTGTGGAGCAGTACTGTACATTACTGTACCAGGATATAATCAGCCAAGAAAGCCGTTAAAGCAATCTCAAAGACATAAAAAGTGATTACAGTTATGAATCCTATACTGTACTGTGCATCTAGTAAGTGTGAATGTACTGTATGTACACTCACAATAGAAATATTCTGCACCCTTGGCTCTGAAACCATCGGCAACGATCACTGCGACAGAAGCCATGGTGAATGCTATTAGATTTCTTGGTCTGGTGTGTCATATTGTATAACCCCGTAAAGGTGCAGAATAATCTTTTAGTGAGTGTACATGTACAGTACTGTACATAGCAGAGTGGACAGTGTATGCCTACTGTGTTGAGGGTCTATGTTCAGTATAGTGTGTGTACAATCCCTCCTTCATGGAGGGAGAGGAGAGAGACAGTTAGCAACACCTGCTACAGTCGATGGTACAGGACAAAGGCAGGCCATCTTGTAGTATCATATCACCATTTGGCCTACCTGTATCACAAGCTTGAGATGACAGCATCTGCTGGCGAGTACAGTATAGTGGACACAGTGGTATATTTTGTTTATTTACAATACAGTACTGTATATTGTAAGTGTCTGCACAAATAAATACAGCTCAGTGCCTGTCCAACTACAGTCTGATGCGGAAAAAATCATTAGTGCCCAGAAAAATTCCGGAGATGTGCAATATTTTCAATACAGGTACGGTACCCAGAAATCTCTCAAACCCAGAACCGCTTGGCACCAATTATTCTGGCTAATGGAGAGATTACTTATACAGTATTGTAATAATATAACCAGTACAGTACTGTAGTTTAAAAGTTAAAACCTGCACAACACAAACAAGAAGCTATGTAAATGATTAATAAAAAACAAAGGCAATACAAATCCACAAGTACTAACTTTTGTTAACAACAACAAAATCCAGATGTTTGTCCACCTGGCAGGGAGTTGTGTCAAGCCGATTCACCATAGTTGGGGAAACAGCCACATCCTGCTGAGTAAACAAACACAATCACTGGTCTGAGCACATGAACACGAACACATCAAATTTACTCGTACAAGTGATTCCTCTTCTGTCTATCTTTTTGTCTCTCAAATGAAATTATTTTAAAATACTATATAAAAATATTGAGTGTTATTATCCAACATCCACAACTCTCTGGGTTTGATAATACAGTAAGTAAAACACCAAGAACATAAAATTTCATAAATGCACAATACACATCATTAACTTTCCTAAACTAAGCTAAAAGTATTTGCTCACCAACAAGAAATACACTACAGGGTGCACAAAAATTATTTAGTAAAAGAAAATGTCTGTAACAGGCTGTGTAGATTAGCAGGATTTTTCATGTTCATGTGCCTCCCCATACACGTTTAACCAGTGAGGTCATCAGTGTACCAGGATTAATAACCTGTCAGGTGCAAAGTTCTAGGCCAGATGGTATCCTTAAGCCACCAACCCGGCTCGAATCAACGTGTCAACATTTCAATGGAACCACCAAGCTGAGAGGCTGTAGAAGTGAGGTGACAGGAGTTATGACCTTATGTGACAAGTCTTAATATAGATCAGATAATGCTCACTCAGGTGCCTTATTGAATGAATAAGATTTTGGGGATTTCCAATTGTTTTATTCATTAGTGTACAGTACACTGGTGTATTCACTCCCATCCCCAAGTAAGTCTCTTAATCTGCCACTGATGACTAAACCACATTAGAACGAGACCAATTCTTACTCAACCTAATTTGTTATAACTTTTATCGGTCAGTAAATGTTTAGGTTACCTCCACATTAATGTTTTATTCTTCAGGTGCTCCATTAGTAAGTTTATTTCACAGCATGGAGAGTAAATCTTGTGAAAAAGCAAGAGAAAACTACTGTACCATGAATTTACTTGTAAATACAAGCAGTACCGGTATGTACTGTATGCCACTGTTCATGTGTGCTCCAAGAAATGAAATATATGGTCTAGGCAGGAATGAACCACTGAACATTACCAAACCTAGATTCGTTCCAACCAAAACAGACATTACCCCTGTAGAGTACTGTACTGTAATTCAGAGGGGTTTACATTTGACACTGTGCAGAGGCAGTGGTTTACCTGCTTTTATTTTTATTCTCTTCACCACTGATCGGCTCGTTAGCCGCTTTGGCTATCGGTCACGTCTCTGTTACGCACTGTTGGCAAGTACTGGGCATGCACCGGTTCCAGTAATTAGTGAACTCTCCAATTAGCTGATGGGCCACAATGCACTATTGTTGTCCGCTAGTAGGGAACCACCGACAGAAAGATCCGCTAGCAAGAAATACTTTCTGTTATAAAATTTTCCACGTGATCCAGCAGGCATGTGTAAGTTTTATTCCATTAAAGTTAAGCATCTGTTAATGGAAGCTCTCCAGGATAGAATTCTGCATATGTTCCAAGTACTTAGCATCTGACTAAGCTTGTGGGTAAGGAAAGCAGGATAAATGCTGGTGCTGTTACACAGTGCTCAGGCTTCTTGACTTTTGCAGGAAGGTAACCACAAGCTTGGTATCTACTCCATTCTTTTCCCCACACCACACTATCTTGATATTTTTTATGAAGAGACTTTTAACAACAAAATTTTGGGTGTGAAAACACTGCATATTTACCACTTGTGTACGGGCCCTCTCTCTGCTGAATAAAATCGTCTGGCATTAGAACATTAAGAGTGGTGTCGCCATAGTGAAGGGGGTTGAAATTAAATTGTCAATTATGTCTGAATTTGGCAGGACTGACCCACTGACTCCTGCTGGTAGTCTGTCTGTCTCATTTAGGTATCACTCAAAAACACCATAGCATCTTCTGTTAAGGGGTTCACTTTGTGATCCTTTCTGTAACATTACAAGTGTTGCATTAGGGTAGAGTCCTTCATATATGATGTTACTGTACTCAACTTTATATTGTACTTGCCTATATTACCATTCCCACACCCTATACTGCTAACCAGACCTTACATAGCCAGCCAGGCCTCAATTGTGTTTTAAAATACCATCAAAATTTACATGGTATAACGTGAACCTTAGCTTAGGAACTTGTAAGGCAAATGAGACGATACTGTAAAGTTTGTCCATTTCACCATCATCAACTCGGCTTGTGTAAAATAGAACGGACATTGGCCAAATTCAAAGGAAATTATGTCCTGAAATTATCCGTTATCAGAAAACGTTAATAAATCTAAAAAAAAAAAATGTCTATTAATATACATGTCACTAGATGATTTCTATAGCTAGGTCCATATAATGTAAATATTCCTGAGTAAATCACAAATAGATAATCTCAACGAGTCAATGTGGAGTATGTATAAAATTATAAATCATTCCTCGGGCATACCACAAGACCCTCTTCATTCCCCCTCTGGTTAATACTGTATTGATTTACTAACAACTTCCCCCTCTTAACCGGGCCTAATAACCCTATAATAATTCACAACAACATTTTACAGCAACTAATTTTAATACAGACAAGAAAAAAAAATGGCTATATAAAAAAAAAGCTAATTTATACCATCTCTGCAGCTTGTTCTGGGGAGTTGATATCCATTTCATGATCTTCTCTCTCAGTTGAATTAGCCATTAGGATGTTAAATAGTCGATGGTAATAAACAGAGACGCGATTTTGAGAAGAGATAACCAGCGAGACCTTGGAGGTGTGAGTCCCGGGTGAGTCAGTAATGCCCCCCCATGTGCTCTTAGCCAGGGACTTGCTTGTGCTTCTCAGTCCGAGGTTCCCCCAGTTCTCACCTCCCCCCTCACCCAGGACCTCCCACTTGGTGACGTCACTACCCCTCTCATCAACCCTCGCATGTGATTGGTGCATCGTATTTCCCCTAACCAATAAGAATGATTGTTTAGGTTTGTGTTTAATATACTCGTTTTCGTATCAAATAAAATATTACAATCTATTTCAAATTTTATTATTTATTATTATATATAAATAATTTAGACAGCGTTTTGTTATATTTTTAGTGTAATTATAGAAGATGTCAACTTTATTATTATACGATGACTGCTCACCAAGCTTAGGAAGTGTTTTGTATCGGACATGGACTGCGTGAGATGGCAAACCAAACATTTTATGTAAAGTTGTAAGCCCTGACTCGTGGTAAGTGGTTTCCCTTTTAGTTATCATGTTCTTAGATACCCTGGCAAGAGAATTATTTCGTTTAACATGATGGAAGTCTTCATATGAGCCCAAAGCCATAACATGGACTCACTCGCTACATTCAAGACTTTTTGAGTGGTTTGTTAAATAATATTAATGAGGTTTTATAATAATACTCTTCTTTGTTCGGTATTGTTATTTGACATTTTTTTAGATCAAGTTTTACGTATATAGGTTTAAAGTTCCATATTTGAGAGAGTTAGTGAGTAGGATTAGGGCCGGTGTGAGGAACATTCATTATAGTGCTGTTATTCCACCTAAGTTAATTTATTATTGTTAGGGAGATAAAGTTATATATCACCAGGTTCTTTTATGTCTGTTGGTTTTCTTCCTTAGGTGACATGTCATTGTATCTTTAGTTACATTGTTTACACCTGGTAATTTGATGTGTCTACTATTATTTTGTTATAATTACCCTTTAAAGGAATACCTAAGGATATCTAGGAGGTTTGTCTGTGTATTAAATGCCCTAAAAGAAATACAGACATAACATTACATAAATTAATGTAATATAAACAAAGTTAATATATGCTTACCTGTTACTTCATGGTGGCAGTGTTGCAGTTATCCTGATTTTATTATTAATATGTTGTCACTCCTCGTAATGTACAATATTAGAGTTAATCAATTATCTTTGGATGTAATTATCATATTCAAGACCATAAATGATTTCTTAAGGTATTAGTACTGTATGTCGAATGTATGATGAAATGATTTTATGAATGGTATATGTACTGTTTACTGTGTCATGTTGGCCACACTGACAAAAGGGTTTCGGGGTGTAGAATGTTTACAAATTTGGTTAATGTTATCTGACAGAGTTTAGTTAGGCCTATACCGTGTATAAGGAGAATTTGATAAACTTCACAGATATTGAATTGGTCTATATGACAGATGGTTTCAAGAAATGATGAAGTATTTGTCATTACCCGGCAAGATATTATTCGTCACCATCAACAACAACATTACCGTTTGTTATTGTCATGTGCTGTAATGGTTTTGCTTTGGGTAATGTATCTCAGTGAGTCTTAGAGGGTGAAAGGATGACACATGGTAACATTAATGGAAAATGAGGAACAAAATATTTATGAGGTATCATTACAGACTTACAGAGAGGAGAATTGAGAACCATAATATATGTATGTACTGTACTGTATGTGTCATGGCTTAACTAGACATCAAGACCACATTGGGAAAGCCGGGAGAATAATGGATTCACAGGATGTTTCAATATTTATTTCCAGTAACTACAGTATTAAACTCTTCAAGTCTACGGTGTCATAGAGAAATTGTTGAAAAAAATGAAGGATACTTAAAAACCACTGAGAAGTTTATTCTTTTATGTTTTGATTGAGCAGAGTTCATCATCATCACAAATTGCTGAAAATTAAATAAAAATGAAAAGTTCTTTGCTGGCGTTAGTGTAGTGAAGCAAATAAGTAGATTAATTATTCAAAGCTTAAGTGTGTAGGAGGAAATCTCTTTGATATTGTCTCTTGAGTATCACTAGACAAGATATTTAACTTAAGGAGTAAAGTGCAGATTGGTTGAGTTATGTTAAGAGTTATTAGGTTAATTTGGTTAACATTAGCCAGGATGGTTAGGTAAAGGAATTCTAGGAGGATTCATGGTAATGCTATAGGTGTTGGACTCGTGGGAAGGAGCCACTGTGCTATTTAAGTAAAAAAGGCAAAATCGATGAACTTATACCGTAATGTGCAAGATCTGTAAATTCTGTTTATTTTTTTTTACATTATTAATATTATTATTAACCCACTCCATGCTCAGGGCATCAGAGGAGGACATGGATGGCTAATGGCCCAGCACGCTCGTGGCAGCAAATGATTCACCAATTCTCGTGCCATCAATTCGAACTGTATTGGTGGGATCACATCCTGTAATGGCTGCTCGGAGGCTACATGGGCCAATCAGGTGCAAGTTAAATCTTGGTGCTTAGGGGGGTAATGAGGGGGTGGGGGCAAGGCTGCTGTCTGCATTGATTGTATAGGTAGATCATGATACAGAGGCGGTGTGGCTATTACGTAAACCAAAAAGATGCTTTAATGCTCCCATGAGCCATTGAGAATTGGTTTGTTCATAGCACTTTCACTTCCTCATCGTCCTTCTAAGTGCTTGAGATATTGCTGAGGTGCAGTCATAGACAACATGAGATGGTGACAGGCCTTGACGATGAGAGTGGGCCAAAAGTTAGTGAGGTGGGTGAAGCTTTGCCCACCACCAACCACGCCACGAAAATTTTACGGGAGGCGTCGTGTTGTGATAAGTGACAGTGACATTGATAGTGTTGATCGTGATGGTGGTGATTACGAAATCACTGCATGTGATGCTGAACAGAGAGATGATAGTGATAGAAGCAGTGAGGTTGACACCCCTCCTACTCCCCCACCCCACACAGCGAGCGCGTGATGACTGGCGTAGGTGAGTGGGAGGGAGAGGGTACGGTACACCAAGCCACAGCACTTCACCAACTACAGTACCTGAACCTTTTGTGTGGACTGACGGTGATGATTTCATCCCTAATGACTACAATTTTGATGATACGAACTGTTATCTTATTGACAGAGTGTCAGCAACAGAAGAAAGTAGTGAATTAAATTTTTTCATGGAATATATGGATAAAGAATTGGAACAACTTATAGTGTACAAAACCAACAAATACGAGAGATATGTTGTGACACAAAGTTCTCCGTCTCCATCACAAATCTCACTGGTGGTATGACACAACTGTTGGAGAAATGTGTGTGCTTTATGGACTGTCAATACTAATGGGAAACGTGAAAAAAATTATCTGAATAATTAATGGCTACATAATCATTCTGTCAACTCCAATTTTCTCTTAAGTAATATGCCTGATGACATACTGTATTATAATATTCGTCAATTTTTACACTTCATGGATATTGAACAATCTCCTCCACCAGGCACTGATAGAATTTACAAGATCGGGGAAGTCATGAACAAATTGCTTGAGAAATTTAGATATTTGTACAAACTGAACCAGAAACTTGTGATTGATGAGTCTCTTATGCTCTTACTTGGCCGCTTAGTGTTCAAGCAATGCATACCTGGCAAGAGGCATAGATTTGGCATCAAGTTGTTTATATTGTGTAATTGCAAAAGGGGCAAGGGAAGGAAAGATGGGACCAGGAGCCATTTAAGCGACAACTAAATCAAGACCAAAGTCACGAGTGACTGAAAGGCCGGGAGTAAGTGCATGGATCTGTCACAACAAACTGCTTCTCAATCTTCGTTTTCCACACTCTGCCACAGCCAACCTGGTAATTACATAATTTTTTTCAAATTTTTTTCCATATTTGTGGGGTTAAACTGTAGATTTAGAAGATTTTTTTTTTTATAAACTAAAAAAATACATTCACGAAACAATGAGCTTGAGGCGTGGGGGAAGTAAATAGTGTGGAATGGGTTAATAATAATATTCTTATATAAGTATATAGTAATATAAAGGGAACATAGAGTTACTCTTGTCTGACCAGCTGTACATCCTTCACCAAAAGTTTATTAATGTATAGTTAACAAGTCCTATACGTAGTTTCACTAGAAATAACTTCAGACCTGTATAACATCTCACAATCTTGTACAGGTGCACATAGTGGCTAGGTATTACAGCTGTCTGTTTGTACATATCTCCCAAAAGGTAATTCATTTCACAAGTCTTGAGTTTCAGTTGAATTGACTTCTAGCTGTGAAAACAGTCTAATCATCTTATACAGATGTGCTATGGTTTTCTTGTTACAGGTCAGTGATTTCAACTGATTTGTTGTTCATAGAAGCATCCGTGCCAAAAAACACATCTTTTGGGGGGGGGGGGAGCAGAGATGGTGATTTTATGATGGGAACTAAAATGTGGCTACAGTGTATTTGGAAAATCCATACAAATATATATATATATATATATATGCAAGTAAATCACTGTAGGTGCGCGTGATCTAGGTATATGCTGATAACCACAAGGAAAGAAGAAAACACGAAGTTCCCAAGCGCTTTCGTGAATTACACGAAAGCGCTTGGGAACTTCGTGTTTTCTTCTTTCCTTGTGGTTATCAGCATATATATATATATATATATATATATATATATATATATATATATATATATATATATATATATATATATATATATATATATATATATATATATATATATATATATATATATATATATATATAAATTTTTAAGCTTAAAAAGGTTTTAGATTTGTCATTAGTTAATGAATGAGATTGTAGAGCAGGTGGTTTAGCACTCCACCTGGGGTACGTCACTGACCCGGGGTACACACACATTATTGAACACTATTTGTTTATAACCTTTTAAGTTTATACTGTTGACTATACAGGTACCTGAGTCACATTTGTGCTCAGTTATAAAACAGGATATCAGGGTAGCTCCCTCATTTATCGGCCTCTTATGGTACAGCAGGAGTGTACGTATCTCACCAAATATATTAAGGGTTTGAGTCCCGCTTGGCCTGGATGCATGTGAGAAGAGTGTTATCCTGTGTGACCCTATGAAATGTTAGTCTTTTTTTTTGTGTGTGTGTGTTTATGCTGGGAGTTGTATTAATGATAATCCATTTGGTCTGAAAATTTTTTGTCAAATGCCAGCCTTTATTTCATCTGTCACTCAGGAACGTTCTTTTAAGGCTGAAACTATTTTCCTTGGATTGGCATCCAGGAAAGCAAATACTCTTTATCTGTTCCCATATCCTAGCAATGAAGAAGATGAAGTGGTTCTGGGGATTACCTTTTCATCTTTGGTAGTGTCTGCCTGGCCAAGTAGGACCTGCTCTCCTTTTCTTATTGTTTTATCCAGAGCCTATCCAAGTTCCTGCTCAGGGTTTAAATAGGAAGGTGTGTGGGGAGGAATAGTTTTATACAGTATCCAGTGCTTCAGTTTTTTATACCCCATGACTGGATTTTCTAATACTGTATTACTTTTTGCCCTAGTTTTGTACTTCTAGTGGGAGAAGTTGTTTGTACCTGTAGTTGTTTGGAAACATTCAAAGTTTCCTCTTGGTTGGTAAGGTTTTTCTTTTAATAACTTATAACCTACTTTTTGGTGTCAGTATGGACTTGATCATGACACACATGCACTTAAAGCATATGGATTAGGCTTTATGGGACTGTAAAAAATTGATACCCTCGTAGGGGGTCTCCAGATTTAATTTCCGAGAGGCATTGGGTCATCAGTTTGACATTAGTCACCCCGTTGCCCAGCATAATGCAGTAGAGCTTCATTGTGCTTAGTTACCATAAATGAAAATTGCAAAGATTGAAAACTAGTGTAGCTAACTCCCCCAGTGAAGTGCTTTGGGAGGAATTTAGGTCATAAATGAAGTTTTGATTCAGAAACCCCATTTTATAGTTGAGCTCAGATTTTGGTTTGTTCCTTCCTCCCAGTGGACAGGAAGTCACAGTATTCTGCTCGAATGGTTAGGAGTGAAGTTTAGAACTCAAATACCTTGTATGGCCAATCCAGACAAATGTGCAGTGGATACGGTACATGCTGAGTGTGGCAATACACATGAAGATCCATCATATGAACTTGGTAGTGACAGGGAGTAGCTACAGCAATAGTAATTAGTAAATTAGTCCTGGGATGTGCCTGGTGTATCTACCCATAGAGTTAGTGCTATAACATGCGAGTCCCTTAGTCTGAGCTCAGCCATAAAAAGAGATCTTTGGGTCAAGCCTCCATATGTCCTGTACATGTACTCGAATTTTTTGTGATTTATGATAATCAAGGTTCACTATGTTTAACTTTATAGTTACAGTACTGTATTATTTTATTATTATGTTGTAAAGTATTTTTTAACAAACATCAAACATGTGAATAGAAAAGGGTGTTCATGTATGTAATTTTTTTACAGCATTATGTAACATTAATTTTTACTGGATCTATGGATTACATTTATACTTTTATGTGTCAGCAACTATATTATACAGTGCACGTAATCTCCTTTTACATACTGTACTGTAATTTGTTATTTTTAAGTGCAGTATTGTCTCTTGTAAGTTAAATTCTTTCCTCCTAGGGGGCTGGCACCATACCATGGAGCAGCGGCCTTTATCTCATCATCCGACAAAGCACGGGGGACCACAGAAACATGCACCTCCTCCACCACATGCATCCAAGAGGAATTACAAGTTGCTCATTGACCCAGTGCTTGTTAATGGTGCCAATAAACTTTATAGGTAAGAGTGGCAATATTAATAGTCATTATTTATAGTTTATGGTTAAGACTGAAATGAAATATACCTGCCTTTCAAGTATTCTGACCAACCCTTTGTTTTTTTGGCCTACTCTAAACATTTTTTTTTAGGATCTGTGTAAGTTTATTTCATATTTTGTTGTGCAATAAAGAACTCTCCCTAAAACATGGGATCGGCCATCTTGAATCTGATGAGACTACATGACACTGTACAAGAGAAACATGACTGCATCTGTCCTGGCTGTGTTGTCTGACAAATGTAGACACTAAAAGGATAACAGTAATCTAACGTGTCTTGGCCCTCACAGATCTTTTACACCAATCTTCAAAGAATATCATTGTGAAGATTCTATAGATGTCAAAATCAGATGCTCAGAATCCACACAACCTATGTCTCAGTAAAAAATAGAATACAAAATAGTAAAAAATGTTTAAAGTAAAATATTTTCCCTGTCTACCTACCCAAAACGTCCAGGGTATGTAATAGGAATTTCAGGCATATGCTTGTACACTGACCAACCTTACGTGAGTTCTCTACTGCTTATGTTATTCAGATTTGAGGGTATCGTAGAGGGAGACCCCACTTATCCTCCTGTTGTGCTCCGGGATCCACGCAAACCAAAAATATGGATTCGACCAGAGACTATGGACCTTACTGTTCCTCGCTTTAAGGTAGTTTAGATTTATGTCTCTTGATTAATATGGACTGTTAATTATCCATATCATCACAGTTAATGTATAGTGAATTAATTTTGTATGATATAGTTGTATGTATCGTGTGTGTGTGTTAACTTTTTAATTTTTAATGATTACATTATAGTATTGTGTGATGATCATGTGAGATGTGTACAACTGATGTAGGTTCATGACTTATTAACCTTTGGCTGCTGTTTACAAGACCCCTTTTAAGAGGTCTGGTTTGAGTAGAAAGATGTACAGTGACATTTGTGAAGTAGTTGCAGTCTCCTGTGTTCTTGGGGCTAAATGGGTTTTGGCTACATGAATGTGATGGGTTACTATATGAACCACTTAGTCCAGACTTAATCATGATGTGGGATATTAAGATCGTTCCTCCGTTGTGATAACCTTCTAATAAAATTGTTAATTTCAGATTGATTCTGATTATGTTGGCCCACCACCTCCTTTAGAAGTCACCATCTTTAATATCAATGATAACATAGATCGGCAGTTTCTTCATAATGAAATTGTAAGTTCATACGATAATGAATGCATGTACAGTATTTATTTTTTGTACAGTTTTAGTGTAATAAGCTTATAGCACAGAATATAATTAGTATAATAGAAATACCTATTGTACTACCATTACCACTGTAACAGTAATGTTCCCAGCAAAATGCTGTGATAGAGCTGACAGTGTTACTTGATGCTCTTAATCCAGTGGGAAAAAAAACAGGATTCCATTCTAAAACCGATAGTAATCCACAAGACTGCTGGCACTTAAACTTATCCCTGTAGGGAACTTGTGTCTCTGGCTAAGGGTGATACCTGAATACAGTATCTTAGCTGGTACTAAGTGAATATATCCAGTTAAATAAGAGTTTCATTACCTAATTTCTGGATGTTAATATTGAGCTTTAACTTTCATCAATGAGTTAGGTACATCTTTACATTCCCAGTCAACAGGAGTATTCATTGTATGAACCCTTGTGAGTCTGAACCCTGGAAAAATCTGGCACAGGTGGGTACAGTGTAATGTGGTAATCACCCAGAAATAAAATAAAAAATGAAATCATTACAGTGAGTGGGAGGTTAGGGGAAGTGTAATGGTGTCACAGGGTAGGGGAGCAGGTAAGGGTGAGTGGTGCTGGATAAAGAATAATATCAAGAGAAGTGATGATAGAACCTGGAAGAGGAAATAATATGCCTTTGTAATGTTTCATGGAATATTTATCTTGGTTCATTTGTCATGGTAGGAGCACACAGTCACAATTCCTCGTCATGCTTGCATACCCAAACCCGTCACTACCACATTGGTGAGGGAAGGCAGGAAGAGGTACCCTGGCAGCACTAGTACTGTACCTGATACTTAAGATGATAAAGAAACAACTGTGCAGCATCATGATTTGTTACTCTATATTCTATGAGCAAATTTTCACCTGTCTTTCAGTTTTGACTAATAATGGTCACAGAAGGGCTGTGTGATCTTCAGCTTGCCTCCAGTTACATAATGCCTAAGGGTTACAGAATAAACCCTCCTAGTTTTTTACAAATAATGGCAGGTTGTTCCCTGCTGACTTTGTTAAAAATAGTTTTCAGGATTGACCCTACTTTAAATGAGCAAAGTTTATATTCATCAGTTGCACCTGTTGTTTCTCTCACAGGTTAATAAGCACCAGTGTGGTTCTATACAGCAGCTCGACATTTTCACACACGAACTCTCCCGGAAGCACCTGGGAGTGGCGAGGCTCGTCTTTGAGGAGCCCGAGTCTGCCCGCCATTGTGTCAAGAAGCTCAATAATGCCACTCTTATGGGCAAAGTTCTACAAGTGTTCCTCGATCCTTTTGGTATGATCTTTAGTAGTTGTAATGAGGCAGTACTATATATATATACACATATATATATATATATATATATATATATATATATATATATATATATATATATATATATATATATATATATATATATATATATATATATATATATATATATATATATATATATATATATATAATATATATATATATATATATATATATATATATATATATATATATATATATATATATATATATATATATATATATATATATATATATATATATATATATATATATATATATATATAAATATATATATATATATATATATATATATATATATATATTATTTTATATATGTATGTGACACTTATTCTCTCCAACACTACAAACACAATCAAATACGTACACCAATAAGGCGCATTCCTTAACTAAAACTTTAAATCACTCACTTGGGAATAAAGTTATAAGGCGACATAGAAATTATTAGAAACACAGGTAAATAATAAATTTAAAAGTATTAAGAAATGTTAATTGCACATATGAACAGGCCTTTTAAGGGCTTTCACAAAATAATATCAGTCACTTAGAAATGGTATTAAAAAATAAGAAATTAACTACTCTACAAATGAATATTCCTAAGCGCTTTCTAACAAAATAATATCACTAACAAAATTATAGCACTCCCAAACAGGTGTACACTCCTAACCTAACCTAACCACTTCTGTGGGAACAAGGTTATACCTGAGATCAGAATGCGAAGAATTAGAGGCATTAAAGAATCAAATCACAGTATCACTCTGGTTCCACTTAATGGCAAGCCAAAAACATTCAAAAAACACTACTATCAAAAATTATTTAGTAAATATTAAACTACACACGCCAAGATAATATCAGTCTGGAGGAATGTGTTAACTACACCTGATAAGTGAAGATGTGTTCCTCTAGGTATCTCCTAGAGTTTGTGACCACGGCTCCCAGTGTGTGTGTGACCATGCCAATATACTAGATAGCTCTCAGTACTTAGTGCCCATGGGCAGGAAGAGAGTGAGCCAATCGACTCAAGAGTTGAGAGAGAGCTTAGCTTCTCGTTAGCAAGAGGGTTTCACTGTTGCTCTGGACATGTGGTGTTAGAGTTTATCGCCCGCTGGGCACCCAGACGTTGATTCCTCAAGAGATCCTTGGTACCTCATTAAACAGTGATGAGGCCACTTGATCAGTCCACTTGGCCATAATCGCCACCTCAATCATCGAACGCAGTTCAAACCCAGTCAATTCGCAGTCAAACCGTCAACCTGTCAAGTGGGTCGATGGACGCATGAACGCCTTTGCTCAGTGAGTGCTTCCGATTGGGAGGAGAGAACCCGCCAGTTCTCATAGCTTGGGCCTACGTGGATATATTTACCGCCTAACTAATAACTCTGGGGACACCGTAATATTATTCAGACTGCTAAACGATCTATAATAATTTCAAATTCACTAATAGTCCTTAACTTCATGAATCGCATCATTAATTCGTAAATCATATTTAATATCATAGGCTTAGTTCCGCACCTTCAAGCACGAAAGTGGTAGCGCCTCAGCGACCTGAATGCTCAGTATCACTATGGCGGGCATTTGAAATTACTCTGAAATTTCTGATATCGCCAACGACCCCTAAAAGACAGCACTGTCCTCATGTGCTGAGAAACATGCATGTTTACCCTAAAAGAGTTCTATGGATCAACTCACCCCTTACAATGCACATTCGCTTCCTTTTTTCTCCCGCCACTTCACCCTAAAGACAGCACTGCCCTCATGTGCTGAGAGAACAATCAAACTACCTTCAACTCTGTAATTATTCCCACTCAGTAGCTAGCAACTCCATTTCTTCCTTGCAGCCCAACCTCAATCCAACCAGAACATCATCTCTTTGCCCGGCCCTTAACTAGAGAACCAATGTCAAAATTATGCTCAGCCTAAAAACAACAAACATGCTCTCCTTTTGGCCTGGGCCCCCTTGAACCAAGAGGAACCAGTGTCAAAAATACACAGTCCAAAACAAGACATGTTTCTTGCCTGGCCCTTGAGCCAAGAGGAACCAGTGTCAAAAAAAATACTCAGTCCATCTCCAACATGTTTCCTTGCTCTGCCTGAACTAAGAGGAACCAGAAAGGTCAAAAACAATACTAGTCCAAAACAAACATGTTTGTTTTGGCTCCTTTGAGCTAGTAGGTACCAGTGTCAAAAAATACTCAGCCCACGCTCGAACCTCATGCCGCAGACAATTTCTGGATAATGTACCAGTCCATCTTAGAAAGCCCTGGATATAAATCAGACCAATCCCGGCCATGACAGTAACTCAACTTCGCCATGACAGCAAACCACTACTCAACGCATATCTTGACTCAACCATCTTCCAATCCTCTGCCCTACTCCGGCCAACCTCCAACTCACCCCCTACAACCCGTTTTTCTCATTACCATGCACCCTAAACTGCAATCGGTCGCCGCTCTTTGCTTCAGCTGAGGGCTCGACAACCTCTGAACTACTTTCACGCATTCTATATTTCACCTGACCTCACACTTCCTGACTGCTGGACGTGGTGCCTGACATTCACCCCCTTGTTTCTCCCTGAACCTGAATGTGCGCTCGGAGACTCTACTGAACCTGCGCATTTGTAAGTGATAATCTCCCACCCTTCTCGAAGGCACCAATAAAACTCATGTGTCAGTTCTCTTCCTCCTCATACACATCTCTACTGTCAAGCCTAACCAACTCAGTCCGGGCACAAGGATGAGCATCAGTGCGAGTTCAATCCCTACCATTGCTAACCAACACATGATGGCGTTCATTATCCCAACCACAGTACTATCAGTCACGACATTAAAAACTACGCTCTGCTACCATTTGTAACCGGTCGGAATTTGCTGGACTTTAATTTCTCACTTGACTTGGGGTTTATTAAAATTTAATAGATGGTAAAGGCAGTGGAAGCGCCCCTTTGAGAAAAATCCCGAACCAGCACAAGAACACTTAAATCTACTACACAAAATGAACTGTCCGTGACCCGTGGAAGGATAGCGTCTGTGACTGGGATGAATGAGACACACTGTAAAATTTAGACACTTATATTCCCTCCAACACTACAAACACAATCAAATAATGGTACACCAATATGCGCACCTCTTAACTTAAACTTTAACCACTACTCTGGGGAATAAAAGTTATACATGACATAGAAATTATTAGAAACACAGGCAACAATAAATTTAAAGTATTAAGAAATGTTGCTTGCACACATGAACAGGCCTTAAGGGCTTTCACAAAATAATATCAGTCACTTAGGAAATGGTATTAAAAAATAAGAAATTAACTACTCTACAATGAATAGGCCTTAAGGGCTTTCAGCAAAATAATATCACTCAACAAAATTATAGCACCCCAACAGGTGTACACTTCCTAACCTAACCTAACCACTGCTCTGGGGAACAAGGTTATACCTGAGATCAGAATTATGAAGAATTAGAGGCATTAAAAGAATCAAATCACAGTATCACTCTGGTTCCACTTAATGGCACAAACATTCAAAAAAACACTACTATCAAAATTATTTAAGAAATATTAAACTACACACGTCAAGATAATATCAGTCTGAGGAATGGTGTTAACTACACCCGTGATAAGGAAGATAAAATGTTCCTCTAGGTATCTCCTAGAGTCCTAGACTCACGGTCTCAGTGTGTGACCATTAATATACTCAGATAGCCTCAGTGTACTCCCAGTGCGTCCATGGGCAGGAAGAGAGTGAGCCAATCAGACCCTGTGCAGTTGAGAGGAGCTTTAGCTTCCCGTTAGCAAGAGGGTTTCACTAAGCGGCTCTGGACATGTGGTGTTGTGAGCCGACGTCAGCTGGGCACCCAGACGGCTAGATTCCCTCAAGAGATCCTTTGGTACCCCGCTAAACAGTGACAGGCCTACTCTGATCGGTCCAATGGCGACAATCGCCACCCTCAATCATCAACGGCAGTCTCAAACGGCAGTCAATCTCTCGCAGTCAAACTCCGGTCAACTCCAGTCAAGTGGGTTCTGATGGACGCGCGAACGTCTTGTCTGTGTGAATGCTCTCCGGGACTGGGAGAGAACCCGCCTCGTGTCCTCTCAAGGCGTTAGCTTGGGCCTACGTGATATATTTACCGCCTAACTAATAACTCCTTGGGACACCCGTAACATTATTCAGACTGCTAAACGATCTATAATAATTTCAAATTCAATAATAGTCCCTTAACTTCATGAATCGCATCATTATTAATTCGGTAAATCACATTTAATATCATATAGGCCTAGTTCCGCAATCTCTCGCTACGAGCAGGCAGCGCTCCCTCCCCTCAGATGACCTTGAATGCTCAGTATCACTCATGGCGGGGCATTTGAAATTACTCTGAAATTTCTGGATATCACATATATATATATATATATATATATATATATTAGTTAAATAAGAAATCCCTGGTATTAACCCTTTCAACCGTATACTACTGTTCATTCTGGGCCAGAGTCTTGCACACCCATATGAGATACAGTACAGTACAGCTCCTCCCCGACTTACGACGGGGTTAGGGATCCAAATCCAGGTCGTAAGTCGAAAATGCTTAAATAATACATAGAAAATCTAAAATGGGTGTCTCTTTTTCTTCTCATCACCACAAAACTCTCACTTTTAAGCTTGCCAGCCATTTTAAAGTGAATTACAAACAAAAATTTTGTCAGTACACAGCGCAACCACTGACGTTGGAACTCGAAAATACGTAATTTGACAAAATTTTGGTACAACTGAGGCAGGTCGTAAGTCGAGTAGGTCGTAAGTCGGGGAGGAGCTGTACATGCTCTGATGTGTTCTGCCCCATTTAAAAAAATCTGGGAGTAGCTAAGAGCCAAATAATGATACCATGTCAGTAGCAGTAATGATTTATCCTGAAAAATTTATTCTCTGGCATTACAGTATTGCAGGTGGAAAGCAAAACTAGACTGAGCTTAGGACTGAAAGGGTTAATGAATGTAATGTATTTGAATTAAGTTACTGCTAAGATAAAGTATCCACAGTCTTTTTGATTTTCCAGTGTCTTACTTTTCCCAGGTAAATCTTAGGTCTCATTATAATGTAAAAGTGATGAGTGATGGTATGCACTACTCTTGAAAACCTGTTGAATGTATGGAAAGAGATGGTCATATGGGGGGAGGGAGGGAGGGACTTGGGTGTTCTGAAGAGCTTGGAATAAAACCTGAGAAGGAGGGAGACATTGCTGTGATGGAAAGAATTGCTGTTTGAGTTTTGAAAGACCTCGACTATTATCTTATCAGTAAAATGAGGTAGAGGCAGGAGGCTGAGTGAAACCCCCATATAACGGTCTTCGCTCTCCAAGTAAACTGTTAGGTTGGGGGGGATCCCATCTAACAGACCCTTGATATAATGGACTTTCCTCTCCATATACAGTATGCCCTGACAATTCAAGGACCTCGATTATTCGCGGATGACACCCTGGATGTACCCAAGAATGTCTAAGGGTAGTTTTAAAGTTGTTGGCAGTTTTGCAGCTGGAACAGGGAGCCATTCATTCTAGAGACAGTAATTTCTTTTACCTGTATTGTACATATATTTGTGTGTGTGTGTGTGCGCAGACATACACACACATATATACAATACAGTAAGTCCGCGCTTAACGTCGTCCCGCTTAACGTTGTTTCGGTACTATGCCGCTACACTTTAGATACCAAAAATTCGTTTAACGTCCTGGTGATCCGATACTATGTCGTTTTGCGTCGTCGCGGACTACAGTGCATCACCCCCATCGTCTGGCCACGCTACGCTCTCTTGGCTTGTCTCAGTGACTCACCACCCTCTGCTCCTACCCTACTCCTCCGCTCCCACCATCCGCCTCCTCTGCTTCACTACCCACCACACACTCGCTCTACCACCTCCGCCCATCGGTGAGTACCAATACAAACTTAGTAGTTGTATATGTATGCACTATTTTCTATAGAAATGGCATTGACTTTCTGTATATGTAATGTATTTCATGGGACAAAGGGAGGCTCGGGAATGTAACTCCCGTATTTTATCTATTTCTTATGGGGAAAATTGATCCGCTTAACGTTGTTTCGTATAACATCGCGTTTTTAGGAATGTAACCCTGACGTTAAGCGAGGACTTACTGCACAGGTAAAAGATATAATTGTCCTAAGGGCAAACACTTAAAGGGAATCTACATTTCTTTGCACGAGTAAAAAATGTAACCCCAAACCCCCCTCTGGTCAGTAATTGTTATTCATGGATTTGGCTATTCCCGGCCATTTTTAGAACCTAACCCTGTGAATTTTGAGGGCATGCTGTACTGTTGTCCATTAAATAGAGGCTTCACTGTACCTCTTGACTGAGAGATGGTTATACTGAGTAAAGAGAGACTTGACTTTTACGAAGGGTATGTGGCGGAGAGGAAGAAATTTAGGAATACTCATTGAACATAGAATTAATTTATATACGAGGTTTGCTGTCGACGTAGGTGTGTTGTTTCGGAGATTGTGAGTTAGTGTTAGTCCTCGAATGTGAGAAGGAACATTGTTTTGAGAAAGTGATGGTTGGAAATTGTCATGTGTGGAAAATTATGAATATTTGGATAAAAGAAGATTTTAATTATGCATGGTCTTCTTTACCATTAGAATATTGCATGGTAGCTTCTACAGTTTTTATTTCATGGGAAATAAATTCGTTATCTGTCTGGTTAGATAATGTGGAATCTAGGCAGACATGGTAAAGTGAAGGATTAAGCCTACTTTCTTGACTAATGGACTCTCCACCATTCCAGACTGGTGTTGGGTCCTGACTCTTGCATAGAAATCCACCCTGAATTCACTGAGTCTTGGGGGTTTTATCTGGTTACCCACTTTTGTCTTTAGATGCTCCTTCTTTGGGGGGTTCGGAGTTAGAGAACGGATAAGAATTGCTTCCATGTCCACGTTTTCAGTTTTATGACTTCAGTGTCCATTAGGTTAGGAATGTTGGTCAGTTTTCTAAGGACTACCAGGTATGTTTATGATTACATCAGTTTATTTCTTTGGTATATTTCTCGTTCTTTGGTTGTTAGGATTCTGGATTTCAATAAAAATCTGAGAGTGAAGCTTCTCAGGTGCCAGTACGGACTTAGGGATTATTAATCATCTGTCACCTGTACAGTTCGGTAACTCTTATATAATGTAGGTTCTTGCAATTGGGCATTCTGTAACTTTAAGCTGGAGGTTTTGTGTTTAGGTTTGACATTGATTTTTCCCATGGTATCCAACTCAACACTACATAACTGTAGGTTACAGGTGAGTTTGTGGGTGTGTCATAAGTCAATCATTTCCTGAATACCTTCTTATACCTTCTTGAGAACAAACTGTGGGGGCCCTGAAAAGAGAGTTTTTCAAGGGTTGGTGACTGGAAATTTGACCTTTCTTTACCTTTCTCATTAAACAGGCTTTGTTTGTTACCCCTTTGCAAGGATTCCTTTGGGGGATTCAGTTGATTTTCCAGACTTCAGTTTGTTGATAGATCAAATGGGATGAATCAACGATTGGGTAATAAGGCTGCTTGGAGCAAAGAACAATGGCCGTCTGGATGATTTAGCCTTCCATTAAACATGTCAAGGCCCTCTGGAAAAGACAGGCTCTGTCTGGGGGTGAGTTAATGGCTAAGATCTAATGGACTACTTGTTCCTTTCCCTTGGCAAAAAAAAAAAAAAAATGGGATTTCATGCATCAGTTCTTCATTATTTAGTTTACTTTCACTCATAAGTGATGATTGAAATATGTTTCCTTTTTGTCCTGTATATATAGTACCATCTTTATCCCCAAGAGTAAAAACTGGATTTATACACCACAGGAGAGGAGTGTAAAAAGCGAGTTGAGGAAGTTGGACAGTTGTTGGAGGAAGAGGCAAAGAGAGAGGAGGAAGCTAAAGAAGCTAAGAAAAGACCACCACCACCTGCCAAGCCCCCACCTCCAGCCTCAGATGATGACAGTCAGTCCAGCAGAGAAAGAGAGAGGCGCAATACTGAGAAAGAATTTGATCGTAACAGGTGAGAACACTGTATAATGTGAAGAACCTAGATTTTCCCAATTTGCTGGAGGTTCATAATGTAGTTTTGACCGAACAGGAATGGTATCCTGTCCTTCTTTGGGTCTGTCTGAAACCTGTTACTGAACTTTATGTGGTGAGAGACTAACCAGAACAGGGAAAAGAAAACCCTGTCTCATACCTTTCATTAATTTAAGTGTCAGACTGGATGAGGTTTTTAGTGGCTTTAAGCTTGAAGGAGAGCAAAATGTGTGTTAGAGGGTAAGGGGTCTTTTCAATTCCTGTTTAGGTTCTTTATGAGCTCTTTTCTCTCTTACTAACCTACACAGAACGTACATTGGTTCACCCGAGATGATTTCACTCGAATCTTATCTGTATAGACGTTTGTAGTAAGTTATTGTGGGGCTGTGTCTACCAAAGGGTGACAGATAACATAAGGCAGTGAGGTGAGGGAGAGATGGTTATGTAGAGTACACTCCTTACACTATTGATGGCGTCTGAATATACAAGTACATTACTGTATTCAAACTACACACACAAGGGAGATAAAATACAGAATGCTCTTGATTAATTCCATATAGTACAGTTTAATATGAAAATTTTGTTGTTTAAGGATGTGAGAGTTAAGTAGTAAGAAGCTGCATTTTTAAACACCTCAGAAGGTTTTAGTTTGAGGTGATGGTAGTGCTTGGTCTGTATATATATAATATATATATATATATATATATATATATATATATATATATATATATATATATATATATATATATATATATATATATATATATATATATATATATATATATATATATATACACACACACATTCTCTCCTCGACTTATGACGGGGTTCCGGACCGACGACCAGGTCGTAAGTCGAAAAGACAAAAATAATACATAGAAAATCTATAATGAAATACGGTACAGTAAAAGTAATCAATAATGAAAAATGAATAAAGTGTTACTGTGCACTTACCTTAAATGTAGTCAGTTGAATGCATACAGGGCCTTAATAATTTTTTAATTAAACATGGAGACAACATTAATTGGATGCAGCAGAGGAGGAGACAGGGCTGGGTGGGTCATCAATTTTGCCTTCTTCAGACAGGCTAACATACTTGCTTGTTAAAGGTGTTGGATCATCTTTAGGGAGTGAAGAGGCAGCAGTGGTGGGGCGTGAGGAGACAGCAGTGGGGGACTTCTTAAAATATATGTCCAATTTAGTTGCATAGTTTGCCTTTTCTTTTCATTGTAAATCTCCCTGGAGCAAGCAAGTGCATCTTGGATCAGTCTGTCAACTTTTGCAAAACGCTCAACATTTTGATCCATTTTTTCAAAGATTTGCATCTCCTTATTAATCGTAGGAAATGCCTCTGCCTTGTCCTTCAAAATTGTTGATATCGTCGAGTGAGAGAAGCCAAGGTCACGTGAAATGGTTGCTACCATTTTTCTATTTTCATATTGCATTATTATTTTCATTTTCATCTCAAAAGTAATTGACTGTCTCCTTTTCTTATCAGCACCACGAGAACTATCACTTTTATGGTTGCCAGCCATTTTAAAGGGAATTAGAAACAAAAATTTTGTCAGTACACAGCGCGATCACTAACAACAACGACGGCCAAACACCAACTGAGCGGGCTACGGCGTGGATGCTGTGCACCACGAGGCGGCCCAGCCCATGCTGTCGTACGGGACGGAAACGTTTCGGTACTAGAAAATACGTAATTTGAAAAATATTTTATACGACTGCGGCGGTCATATGTCCGGGCGGTCGTAAGTCGAGGAGTACCTGTATATATATAACTTTGGAAGAATAAGTAACCATCACATTATTTTTCTGTTGTGATTCTTCTTATTCAGATATGAAGAGAGTAGAAAGCCAAGCTGTAGTGTTGTCCAGCCGCCCTCCACATCAGTCAGTTCAACTGTGCCCACCTCCTACTACCAGGAACAGAGACCACCACAGTATGCGTACCAGCAACAGAACTTCACCAGTTATGAACAGTATCACCATTATCAGGGCTACTCATACCAAGAGTACAGAGGAACGTAAGTCTGTCCCCACTTGAAAATGTGATTAATTAAGGTGTGCAGCTACTGGTAATGCTGTATGTATGCAGCTTATATTAGATACAAGTGATATACCATAGTTATGGTAAGGTGGTAATAATGTATGTATTTATTTACGCTTTTTTATTTATTTTCTTGGGATAATCAGAAAACTACATTTATATTTGTCAATCCTACATTTCTTTTTCTTATTTTTTTTTCTTTTTTTTGTGAATGAATGGAGAGCATAGCATTGTGTGATTTGTGGGGAAGGAACTTGCTGCTGATGGGTGGTACCGGCTTGTGTCAAAGTAATCCCAGTTAACCAGATTTTGGACCTTGTTGGGGGTGGGGATACCATAGAAGAACACATCTATAACAAAAGTGAAAATGAATAAGTGACAGTGAATAAACAGAGAATGGGTGTGGGTATTTTCTCTCCTTTCTGGCTACACTGGAGTAAACAGGAAAAGGATTGACAGTAAAACAAACACACACACACACACACACAGTTGATTTGAAAGATTTTATCAGTTTAAATATAAGTAGAAGGTTTACATGGCTGTTTGTAAGGCTTTTATGTAGGAGTGAATTAATTAGTATGAAAGAGAGTATAACAGAATTAAATAGAAAGAATAATGGAAAGGAACTATGGAGACGAAGATTGTGGTGAATGTATAAATTAATGAACTCTTGTTTTGCAGGTTTCCTACAAATGTTACAGCTGGTCATCACTGGAACACTGGAAGCACTGCTGCTGCCCCTCCTCCACAGACTTGGGTTGCCCATCCCTCTACTCATGTTCCTACTCACGCGGCTGCCGACCATCACACGACCAATTCACACCACTCGTGGGATGCTTCTCGGTACCATTCTCTTGAATACCAGCGTAATTCCCACAACGACAGTCCTTTTGAAAACAAGGCTACTCCTGCTCGACCAAAACTTGAGGAGAGGCTTGATACGATTGAGGCTGCCATTAACTGTAAACCTAAACATGAGTCTGAGGAGGAGGAAGATAAATCTAACTTGGACTTGGATACAAGAATTGCTATGCTACTGCAAAATAAAGATAGTGGCATGGCTCCTCCGTTCCTTGCTCTTGGACTGGGAAGTGACGAAGAGGAGGAGAAAAAGGAAGGATTAAGTCAAGAGGAAAAGAAAGTTAAAGACAAGGAATCTAGTGTTCAAACAACCTCTAGTAGTAGTGTTTCAAATTCAGACACAGACTCCTCTTCAGACACTGGTAGTGAGAGTGAAGTTGGGGAGGGCTCGAAAGACTCTAGTGGTGGTGAGGGTAAATCTAAGTGGGCTATACTTGAAAATGTTTTAGAACCGTTATCTACTCCTCCGTCTCCGTTTATTTCGCAAGAAAAGTACATTTATTGGCATGAAAAGGGAAATGAACTAAAAATGGAGGCACAGAGAAGAGAGAGAGAGGAAAATAGGGAGAGGTTAAAAAAGTTAAAGAAAAAGAAAGTAAAAAAGAAAGATAAAGTGAGTGATAAAAGTAAAGATATAAAAAGTGAAGTGAAAACGGAACCTATGCTGGAAGAAAATCAAGTGAACGGTATAGACGACGACAGAATGAGTTTATCTAGTTTAAGTTCGACGGAGGATCCAATTCTCCATCAAGACGTGCCCATACCTCCAGCGGGCACCACTGTACCTCCCCCAGGCACACCTTTTTCTGCTCCTCCTCCGGGTTACTCACATTATGGACCACCACCTGGGTATCAGTCTTACCTCACACCTGGGTATCCTCCTCCAGCCATACCACAGGAAGCTACGTATCCATGGCAGCCACCCCCTGGTTATCCTGCTAACTTTGTTGCTGGGTATCCAGGATATAATCCAGGGTACATGGCCCTTCCTCCAGGCTACTCAACTATTACTCAACCTCCTCCAGGGACTACCTTAACAGGCCAAAGTCCTTATCCTCCTTACTTTGGTCCTGGATACCCACAACCTCAAGATGGTGATTCTACTCACAAGAGTGGAGAATATCACGACCCAACTATAAAGTAAGTGTTGCTCTCATCATCTTTTTTCTTTATCATGTCTAGAAATTAATATTGTTAAATTTTTTGGTGCTGTTACCTTAACTTGCCTATTATTTTGAGAAATTTGTTTGAAATACTACAGTTATATATTCATTACCATACACCTGCATGTCAACAATGATTTAAGATCAGACTTGGTATTATCTTATTTAACTAAAAGTGCAATAACAAACTGGCTTTTCAAGCTTTATTGGGAGTTGGTTTTCTTTTATGTGGGAGACTGATGTCACCTGTCCGTAGGAGTACTCCATTTAAGATATGTTTTCTTATCTGGCTTGAATTTTATCAGTTTAGTGTAGACATTTTAAAAACTTTTGGAAGCACAACCATTGTTGTTAGGATGCTGAATCCAATGTGGGTTTCACCAGTATGCATGTACTGTAATCCCGTTTTATAATGATAATGGAACAGGCAATCTTGGATCCTTTCTCCTTCTCAGGGAACATTAAGTACTGTACAGTATTTAGGATCTAAAGGATGATTATGTTTGAGTTTCTTTTTGTTTAGCTTGCTTAGGTCTTGTAACACAAGTGCCATGACATACACTCACACCTTTCAGCCATCAGGTAGCTGCTTCATTAGAACTGTTTCCCATTCATAGGGTCTGCAGATGAACTGGCAAATATCCTCTTTCTATTTCTCAAGTTTTACTGGATTTTTAAACTATCCATGTCACATGAGTGGAGGACTTGTGGGACCTTGGGGATAAACCTATAAGCATATTGCCATAAGTATTAGCAATGTGAGGCACTGTAATATGTGCAAGAAGTATAAAGTGGGATTTCAGGGTTATTTCCTCATTGTGGTATGGATGAGGTAGTGACTTCAGGCTGTGAAACTTCATACTGAATTGTGGCCCATTTTTCTAAAACAAATAAATTGGAGTCTTCTGTTTCTTTCTGTGCTCTGCAAGTAAAATAGAAAGTATTTCTTCCTCACAAAAAATACAAAATTGGCTTGATCCTGATTGCAGGTAGATTTTCCCATTTCCAAAATTTTGGATTGATTATCCAGAGAGTTCTGTCATGAAGAAGATGGGAGATGGGTAGATACAGTACTTTATCCCACCATAGAATTCTTAATCCAAAGTCCTTTAGGACTTTTCAGAAGAGGTGTTGAGTAGGCTTGTTATTCAATGGTTAAAACAGTGTACAGTGTTTTGTTTCTAAGCTCTTTCATGTTCCTAAGGCATCTTGGGGACATAAAGTAATTCTGTAAGTAATTTAAGGCAAGTGCCCTCTATAATTATAGAATCTTCATATTAATTTGAGGAAGTTTTGTGTCCCTCTCATATCCCATTGGTGTGTGGGAGAATCCATTCATGGGAGGAGTATTGACCTCTTTATAAACAACATGGGCAATCTCTTTAGAATTGTTTTTTGTAGTGAGGACACTTTTGTATTGTATTGCCACCAAGTGATAGGGGAACGTTAAACTTGTGTGCTGATTGTATTTATTTATTTATTAATAATTTTTTAATTATTGAATGGACACCTCAGAATCCCTCCCATCTCCCTTGGTTCTGTGACTAGTTGGCAAGAACTGAAATATAGATGGTCTCCTAGACTTGGGTTTGCTCAGATTCATTTTGGTTGGGTCAGTCTTGCCAAGGTTCACAGGTAACTAAACCATTTGCCACAAGATATTGTTCAGTTGGATGGTCATGGCTCTAAATAGATCTTCAGCATTTCCAAACAACAGCTATGCCTTGTCCCCCATGTTTGAGGCTGATGGTATTGGGGAAGGGAAGGATAATCGGTCAGTTCAAATTATTGTTAGATTAACTGAGACTGACATTATGAGGTCCTTTCTGAGGGCTCCAGGACTCCTTAGAAGGCATGTAACTGTACCTGTAGATAAGAAAAGAGGTTTTAGCATCAATCTACCAATTTTTCTTTTAGTTTAAATATCAGCAGTGGTTAAAATCTGAGTAATGGATTTAAGGTAAAAGTTGAGGTTAATTTAGAATAAAACTATCTTAACAAATAAATCTTCTTATTCCTGATATATAGTGTCGGGACTGCATTTGATTGTATTTGGCAGACAACTGAAAATTGCATTCATAATTTAAAATGTGAATTTGATTTTATAAATGTGTCAGGACTGAGTTTCTTTGTATTGTCTGTAAGTCTAGGGGTCAGACCCCCAGGTTCCTGGCCCCAAACTTGTGACTGGAATCTAAAGAACAAATAAATTTAATAGGTAGTTTATCCTTCATCTTCATACCAGGTTCCCAGGGGATAAAAAGGTATTCTAAAGAGGGAGGTTTGAGAGCTGTGTTGTAATCATAATGTGAGGTGCTTCAACCCATTAATGTCATTTGGTGATATCACCTACGAAGCGCATACAATACCGGTACCTCTGACCAACCCACCTCAGATCTCGAATCATCTTCTACTCAACATGGATGTTCTGCCCTGACCTTGTGAACAACCAAGTGTTCTTTTTGTTATGTTTGACACTTTTATAGGATGGTCCATGTGATAGCTAAGCACAGAACTTTGTGTTGTAGGGCCATTTCTTCTGTTAGACTGGGGTGAACACATCCGGCTCATCTTTTGGTAGATCTTGGGATTTGGTTATTAATGAAATGGTAATAAAGTAAAAGTGATTCAATTAGCAAAGTATGTTACCTACATGTTGTAAGTGTTCAGTCAGCAGACTTTTTGAACAAGCCAACTCCTTGTTCGTTCTTGTAACTTCCAAATAAACTTGAACTTTGTCTGAACATGTAGGGATGTCTTTTGCAGTACATCAAGTATATTGTTTATATTTGTTGCTCCAGATTTACAGTGAGGGACAAATATCAGGTGTCTATGAGTGTGAATCTAACTTTGTGAAAACACTGACTAAAACAAATATCAATAGATTTTAACACCTTGGCACAGTACTGGAACATCCTGGTTAGCGAATAAGTTAGGGATCAAGGCACCAGCTCATAAGGCAGTTGTCCAGAACCTGAAATTTAATTCCCCATAGGGACAAAGTACTTAAGGAAGAGAGGGTCTGAACCACATCACAAAACACCAATTATACTGGGACCTTTCACACTACTGTACAGTACCTATCACAAGTCATGTGTTTACTAAAAGAATTATGTTTATCGGTGCATTCCTTACAAAATCACCGCTTTGAGGAGCCCCCCCCCAAAAATTCTCTGCCGTCTCTGCTGGTTTTTAAATTCTTATTTATTCAATATGTACCAGTATTGTATTTCTATGCATAAATGTTGCTTTGTTGAACTTGTTTAGCTCATGCCAGTGTTTCTGCCTGCCTACTGTAGTCAGCTGTTTTGTTATTGCCCAGCACCATTAATTTGTGTTTTACAATTTGACATTCTAACTTGCAAGTATTTCTGGCAACAAACTGTAGCCTGACAAAACACACCACATCAGTTGAGAGAGTACGAATCTTGCCCTTGCTGCTGTACCATATACAGTATGACATTACGGCAAGGATTTCACACAGCTTACTCCAGCTTAAATAAAAAAAAACATCGATGCTTAATGGTTTATATGTGCAGACAATAAAGCTTTTTCGAACTTGCTTTGTTATTAGATAAGAAAATAAGATATTAAAAAACATATTTGCTTATGACTGCATGTCTGCTAACCCACTGTAATCAGGTCAGTACCCAGGCATGGAACATTGATGCTTAGTCTTATATCAGTAATTGTGAATACAGTAATTAATGGTTATTACCACATTCTGTACTGGTATTCACAGATTTATATATATTTATTTTCTGCATCATTGGGGTTTGTTTTCATTATGATAGGAGTAAATCTTGCTTGTAAATCAACCGAGGTGTTCCTATATACTGAAGTTATAATCAGTGTTAACCTCTTTTGTACCCAGAGTAACAGCTCCACACACACACACACACACACACACACACACACACGCATACACATACACACACACACTCTCTGTCTGCCACTACAACAAAATTCAGCCCATAAGAGCCCGCACTAATAGATATAAGAATAGCACCATCCCATCTATTGTTAAAATAATAAACAACTCCTGATTTATGTACTGCACAGCCCTGTAAATGTATTGAACGCATATCATTATGTCTAAATCAAATGTAAGTTTGTATACTGTATTTTCAGCCACCGGCTGCAACTCTATTAATAAACCGTTTATTATTATTTTATTTTTATAATAATAATAATCTTTCAGTGAAATTAAAAATTACTCTTTCTTTTCAGTGCGGTTCTTGATACTGTTATTGAAGAACTAAAGAATATTCTTAAACGAGATTTTAATAAGAGAATGATTGAAGCCACAGCTTTTAAAACATTTGAAGCTTGGTGGGACGAACAGGAGAGAAAATTCAAGGTATGTTCATAATTTCAAATATGTTGATGGTTATCCTGGGAAACAGTAGTTAGCATTAACCCCCGAGACACCTATCCATAAATTAAACTATATAGTATTTTCAGGATAAACTAGTGCCTTCCTTTGACCTTTTAAGTAAGCCTGAGTTGGTTATTAGAAGGCTTTATAATCATTTAATGCTATTGGGTGAAAACTTTAGTAATTTGAAATACACTGCATTACTGTATTTGTGTTTTAGTAAACTCATGCAAATAAGCTGAATTCTATGTCTTCGTAATTTTTACAGAAAAACTTCTCAAAGTCTTGGGACTGGGACCCCTACGGATGCCTGTACCTAATTTATAAATCTGTATTGGTATGTGTTAATGTTTAGCTAATTTAGATAACATTTGTACTGGTTTACATCGTTGATCACGTCTCTTAGTTGCAGGCTCAGGCAGAAGCAAAGGAGACCAATTTAGAAACGGCCGGTCCTCAAGCCCGAATAGAAAAAATAAACTCGATATCAACATTATTAGAGAACCGAGAAGGTTTTGGGCTGGATTCCTTGGGCACCATCGGTCTTGGTTTCCGAGCTGCCATGCCCAAATTGCCTTCATTTAGAAAAATTGTAAGTATTTCTTGTCCATTCATTCTTAAGTTTTCACAACCAGTTTTTATAGATAACTCAGTACTGTACAGTACTATGAAATATCTCAAAAGTTGTAAAGCAATATATATATGTATATATACCTGTATATATATATATATATATATATATATATATATATTATATATATATATATATATATATATATATATATATATATATATATATATACTGTATATATATATATTTATTTATTTATTTATTTTTGGGTATGCAGTATATGATATTTATTTAATTTTATAACTCATTTCTTATACAATTGCATTTCTTTTATGCTTCATTGTTTTCTTTGCAGCGTAAAATCAAACCGCCTTCTCCCCCTTGTATGGATGAAGACAGTCGAGGAATAGTGTCAGACGAGGACAGTAAACAATCCAGACCGAAAGTAGAAGAGGAGACCGATTCTGATTCTGGACCAGATGATCTTGTTCCTGTGCCCTTAAAGAATAAACCGTCGCCTTCTTCCGTTAAAAGAAAACAAAAGTGGTCGTCCGATGATTCAGGTCAGAAATTTCTCTCTCTCTTTCTCTGCTGCCATTACCGTACAGTATCTCCTTTCTCACATACAAGGTCTGAGTTAGATGCTTAGAAATTGTGTCTGTGTTTGTGTGCAAGAAAACGGGACTTAAAAATTTGACCTCTATTTAGTTCTTAATTTTAGCCACCCTGAAGCATAGAATTAAAGAAAGTAACTGGTAATTTTTTTTTTTTTACCGTCATTAGCCCGCCCAGGCACAGGTCATTTTATAATGACCCGCATCATGTCCTGGGGGGTGAAAATATAATAAAATATTAATAAGAAGAATAATATATTAATAGAAGTCAATGAAAATAAATAACAATTATGATAAAGAAAATATTAATAATACAGTCAACCCTCGCTTTACGCGGTCCCACTTTACGTGTTTCCACGTTTACGCGGTACCCTGCCGAAACCGGAATGCTCGCTTTCCGCGGTGTGTGTACCCTTTTACGCGGAGAGCGGCGCGAGCAGGGTGCGCACAAGGTCACCCAGTCATCAAAACATTACCGAGTTCTTCACCCGCCACCCACCACAGCCGGCCCAAGTCAGTGATAGTGATAATGATAGTGAGGATATGGACTTATATGGACTTTGAGGGGTTTGACAAAGAGGCCCTGCAAGCCTCTGTGGTGGATAGTGATACAATTGATACAAGTGATACAGGTGAGGGCCAATAATCTGCCCTCTGCCTCGGAACCAACCCCCCATCCCCATGTGCCCAGCCATCTTTTCTACTAATGTAAGTGTTAAAAAACCTAATATTATTGATATTTCTCTTAATTATTAATTGTGTGTGCATACCATCATAAAATTAAGAAGTTATTTTTACTACAACGTAGGTATTGTGTCTGAAAAAGTGGAGTTTGGGGGTCGGCCCGGTCTCTATTTCAATTAATCCCAGATGTTATGTTGTTCACTTTACGCGTTTCTCACTTTACGCGGTCCACCGTGGGTTGAATTAACCGCGTAAAGTGAGGGTTCACTGTACTAATAAAAGTTAATAAAAATTATAAATAACAATAATAATAAAGGGCTGTAGAAATAGTTAATGATCAAAATGCTTTGGATTAGTGAGGGTGCAACTGCTTCCTTGCTCTGGATGTAACAAGAATAATACACATATGAGAAATATCACTAGAATGGAAGGGGGCTTAAAAAAATTAATCTTATTATTGACTAATTGGCATTTATAGAATCTTATTATAACACCTGTCTCTCTATTTAATTAACCAACTGTATCTAGATAATTACTGAATATCTAGATAATTATTGAAGTCTTAATGATATAAACTCTATTGTACATAAAGTAATTTTTTTAATCATTACTGAGTATGAAATGATTGATAAGATAATTTGGTTTATAGTCAGAAGTGATGTGTCGTCGGATGAGGAAGAGGAGAAGGAAGAGGAGGAGCAGTCTTCGTCGTCTTCAAGTTCAGAGTCATCGGAGTCAGAGTCTGAGTCATCTGAGAGTGAAGAGGAGGAGGAGGAACTGGAGGAGCTTAAGGTCTGTGTTTAGTGTTAGAAAATTATTTTATATTTCTACAGTAATTGTTGTACTATGGCTTTTAATCCAGCCAGATTTTTTATTGGCTTTCAATCAGGCTTGAGTGAATTATTTATCCCCTGTTACTGTGTGTGTGTTTCTCTGCATCAGACTTTATAAATGAAATGAATTTAATAAAGAGGAAACAATTTTATACTTTACATCATAATAAATCTCTCTATTATGAACAGGAGTTGCGTCGTTTGGAAGCAGAGTTTGATGCTCATGTCAGATCAGCAGTGGAGTCTGTCATGCGAACGCCAGAACATGACCGACCGACTACCCCCCTGCCTGACCTCCTCCCTGACCAGCTGGAAGACACCTGGATGGATGAATCTCCTGCTCCAGCTCCACCTCCAGCTCCCCCCAAGGTGTGTATCTTAACTCTTAGAGAAGTCAAAATAACCACAATCATTGAGGAAGATTGTGATTATGCCTCCGTGCTGTGACTAAAGAAGTAAATTTACGTCACTTAGAATATTGACGAGGTTTCTTCGGTCACACACCACATCAAAATTCTTTTAAAAACTTTGGGAATTGGATTAAGAAAGTTTTAATTGTGGTGGTTAGATCTGAAAATAAAAAGACTGTAGTACATTTGTCTCACAGATGGGGTAGACCTTATGTATTGCGGTGTTGTAAATGTTGAGTACCAGAGAGTTAGTTTATGTGTAATCTGTCTACTGCGATCACACTGTAATCTGTGTTTTTCCAAATAATCACCAGGTGTCAGAACCAACTCCTACTCCAACAAAGAAACCTCCTCCTCCACCCAAGAGTAAAAAGTTGCCAAAGAAAGCAGAGCCAGTCGCTGCCACACCTAAAAAGCCGACTAAACCCCCAGCGGCGGAGAAAAAAATCAAGACCCTTAAACCCAAGGAGAGAAGAAAAGAAGTGGAACCAGTTAAAAAAGTGCCCGAAATTCCTTTACATGTACATGACTCGGGCTCAGAGGTATGGCCTTTACTACTCCCTGTTTGTCAAGTTTTTGTTTTTTCTCTCGTAATTTACTCTCATTGTGATTTGCATCTCCCACTATTTTCTTTCTTCTACCTAATGAAGTTATTGTCGGTAAAATGTTAATAGAATTTGTTAATGTCACTGGTCCTTATACATAAATTTTTTTTTTATGCATCGTAAGTTAGTATCTATGTTACTGTATATATAATGACCGGATTTCATCTTGTGTCTGTGCAGACTGACACAGCTGATGAAAAGAGTGATCTGGACGATGGCTTGGGAGAATCTGCAGAAGCTGCTGAGGCTCTCATGGCCCTAGCTGGTGCAGATGTTAATGGAAGAGTCAGATCTACTTCCTCCTCCTCCTCCAGCACTTCATCTTCTTCGGCTTCCAGTCGAATTTCTGGCTCCACCGGGGAGGAGCAGAGATCGCCCGTCCTCATGGAACACAGCTACTGTTTACCATGGGCACCCAAGGATGGAACAGATGCCTCATTCTTGCCTCCAGGTAACCTTACATATTTAGGGAAAATATACTCAGAAAGGCTGATAATGATGATACTTAAAAAGTTATTTTGTTTCAGGAAAAAAAAGAATTTGCACTTTTTTTCCCTAACTGGTCAGACTATGATTAATTTTATTACTGTATAGAGTTTACCAATATCCTTCAGGACTCATTTTTTTTAAAACTCGGGTTGAAACATGACGACCCTCTTCAACGGAACAGGGTGTTTAAAACTCCGGGCGTTAGACTGAATTAACATCTGAGAAGTAAAACATCATCATTTTCAGGAGCAAAGGCTGTTAGTCTGTGCAGTATTTACTAATTATTCCTTTATATTTTTTCCTTTATAGAAGATGTACAGAGGAGGGGTCACAGAATCATGGGAGGTTCAGATCACGACTACACCCGCACCCGAACACCGCCTAAAACTGACAAGAGTAAAGCTTCTAAGACAGCCACAAAGTTCACCACTCCCAAGCCTCGAGGCAAAGAGAATAGAGAACTGCAGAACAAGAAGGAGGCTCTTGACAAAAGAAAAGCATTACCTCAGGTGTTGTCCAAATCAACTGCTTTGCCCAGCTTCAAGCCACGCAACCAGATGGAAGAATACAATGTTCTCTACTCTTTTCTCATTCGAGGTAAGATGGCAATTGTATAGAACAAGAGAAATGAATTTTTATGGTAACGTCATCAGATGACAAAAATTGAAGGACATTGCATTTATGCTTTGATTTCCTGTCATTCTTTACACTTGTTTCAGTATGCCATTCCATCATACAACTTTTCATCTAGTAACTTCAATTCTGTTTAGTAAATCTTAACCAAAATTCATGGAGATGACCCATATAACACATGCTTTTGATTTCTTTGGTATACTTGCTGCTACACAGTTTTTATGTAAATTCTAGAAGTCTTGGGGTTAGACACCTAGAGATCTTGCAAACTTCATTTAATTAAGTCCAAGGGAAGAGCAGGATTGGTTCCGCCACCGCTAACTACTAGTCACCAAGGGTACATATACATCACACTGTTCCTCACGTTCTTTACATGATCTCTTTTATAATAAAATCTAAAACTATCTTTTGTAAAATTAACGCTCGCCAGTATGCTGTCTCATGTACAAGCAAACCCTCCACCCCTTGCTGTGCCAGTCAACCTCTTCTTGAGAACACTCATCAGCTCTCTTGTGGCATACTTGTTCTTCATCATCATCATCTTAGGAGCCATAGCAAAAGTTAGTGCAGGTCTCCTGTTTCCATGGCTCTCCATTGTACCAAAAACAAAGGGGTAAACCAAATGGGACATAAAAACACAGGGAACTTAGTTTGACCAAAAGATGTGACATACTCGTCGTGCTGGATGTGGTGATATGGCTGAGAATCACAAATTGTGCTACAAAAAATTCCCTGCCAGTCATCAAGACCATGAATGATAGAACTGTAAATAGTGAGGGTGTACTGTAGAATGAAGTTCTTTGCAGTTCAGTATTCAGAGAGCCTCACTACAAGAGAGTTTAATCGTCCTGGGTTCAGTTTAGAAATTTTTTTATGCCATTTGTCTCTCAACCCAGCAGTGATTGAAGATGCCAATTAATATATTTTGTGTCTGGCCTATTGCTGGTAAGGTTCCTCTTCTCCTCACTTACCTTTTGATTTTTATTTAACAGCAGCTTCAATTCCTTTAATAAATTCCCCTATATGTTGGCTTAATGGAAGGGTATCCTCAATCTTGAAAGTATTATTTCAATGATATGCATTAGGCAACAAATTACAATGATTTCTTTTCTTTATACAGGCATTGATCAGGAAGATATTGAACTTCTCAAAAGAAGTTACGAAGGAATGCTGGCAGATGATAGTCAGTCCTATTGGCTGAATGACACTCACTGGGTTGACCATCCACCTACGGACATCCCACTCCCACCTAGAAAAAAGCGTAGAATGGATGATCTTCCCATACATAAAACTGGTTGTGCTCGTACTGAAGGCATCTACAAAGTTGACTCCAAACAGAAACAGAAACATAAGGTTAGTGTCTTATTTTATATTATAAGTAATTTATTATACTGTAGTTACATAAATACTCATGAGTCTTTCCCAAACATTTTATACTCTTATGGCATAGACTAATACTGTACATGGTATTTTGGCCATCATATAAGCATGACTCCCACTCATAGGACCTATCCAAATCATTCTTAATTCTCTTTTTTTTAAACTACATTAAAAATCTTGTAAATAGAACACGCAAGGAGCTGTGGGACGCTGTTGAACACCCCCTCCCCCTTTTTTTTATTGATAGTTCGGTAATGACAAGAACATTAATGCTCTTATGTTCCTTCAGGCTTCTCTGTTATTGTTACTCTTGACTGGTGAAGATACAGTATTGTGGAATTCATGTGTATTTCATTGATTTCTTGTAATGCTGTGTACCCTAAGTGAGTCAGGGTTTGGACTACATTTCCAGGGATTACATATAGCCTGTTTGTGTTCTGTAACAAAGGATAAATTGCATTTAAAAGAAAAAATTAAATATTTAGATATCAGGGAACCAGCGACTCATTCAGGAGTTTGAATTCTTGTCAATATTGTTCATTTTGATTCAAATAGGAATATACAGTGAGACCTCCATATAACGGGCTTCAATATCCTTATAATCCTTTAATTGGGGGTTTCACATCGAACAGAGCCTCAATATAACGGACTTTCCTTTCCTTATAGTCTGTTAAATGGAGGTTTCACTGTTTACTCCTAAGTATTTTTCCTGGACTTAACAAAGATATTTTCTTTTCAGTTTACATTCCATCAAGACCATGCAGCGAGGGCAGCGGAGGATCCACAACAGCAGAGTCTTGCCGTATTGGAATCCAGTAAAGCCAAGCTCACACAGATGGCTGTTAGCAGAGAAGTGCGGTCCTTCCAGAGAAGACTACTCACAGCGTTTGGCAATGAAACAGACTCTGATTTGCTCAAATTTAATCAGCTCAAAGTAAGGAAAATTGTTTTTGTTTTTCTTATCGTTTTATTTTGTGAATTTGTACGGTATTCAGTTGGATCATTATTCTATGCGCATTTAAAACTGAGTGACATCTTTCTTCTATGTGATGGCTAAGTGTTATTATTTAAAGTCAGTGATAAATAGTTCAGTTATCCCTAAACTATTTGTTGTATGAAGTGTTTTTTTTTTTCTTGACCCACGCCTGAGATGTATTATTTCTCCCCCAGTTCCGTAAGAAACTCCTGAGATTCGGCAAATCACGCATTCACGACTGGGGACTGTTCGCGATGGAAGCAATAGGATCGGACGAAATGGTTATTGAGTACGTCGGCCAGAGTATACGATCCATAATTGCAGATCTGAGAGAAATTCAATACGAAAAAATTGGCATTGGATCGTCGTACCTCTTCCGTATCGATATGGAAACTATCATTGATGCTACAAAGTGTGGCAATCTAGCCCGCTTTATTAACCACTCCTGTAATGTAAGTTTGTTTCTTGTTTTTTTTCTAGTTGTGAGAGGTACAAGTAAAGGAAATAGACAGATGAAGAGATAGAGATAAAAAGAGGAAGAGATCGAAATAAAGAGAGAACAACAGTGAATGTCCTTAAAGTGAGGTGGGGTTGGGGGTCATGGATAGCCAATATGTAGCAGTGTGCTTTACTGATCAGAGACCATGATGTCTTATTATTTTTGAGAAGACATAACTGCTGCTAAAAATCATTCACAGAATCATTGTAGAAAAAAAAGGAATTTATCATCATTTGTACATTATTTGATCTCCCAGGTATACCATTGTTTTTTTGGTTTTTGGTTTTTTCTCATAGAATTTCATTACAGTATAGAAATTATCAATCATTATTTAATAAATGTACAATATATACCTGTATTCCTTTACTCTAATATGAGCACATACAGTATACAGTACAGTACTATAAGTATATAAATGTACAGTACAGGTATGTACCCTTCCAGTTTGTACTGTACATGGTGGCTGACCAGGAGGTTCAACCTGTTATTATTTTAAAACTGTACATGAATAAGTAGACCATTAAAGGAGCTTTTCTTGTGTAGTATAAAGGATCTCTCATGTTCATATTTACTAATCCTTACCTTTACTATTTCAGCCAAACTGCTATGCAAAAATTATATCAGTAGAAACCCAGAAAAAGATTGTAATATATTCCAAGCAGCCAATTGCGTGTGGTGAAGAAATAACATACGATTACAAATTCCCAATAGAAGAAGAGAAGATTGTGTGTTTATGTGGTGCTGCACAGTGTAAGGGCACGCTTAATTAAAAAGGACTACTATGAGGCAACACACGGGGAATCATCTTCCACAGGAGAGCGTGAACCGGTGATACGATAATGGTAATTTATTTTGTGACAATTCAAAAGTATCCTTTGACATGTATGATTTGTTGTGAACTTCAGTGATGTGAAATTACAATATTTTGCTGCACTCATTTTCAGAGTGCAATACCTCTTATTCTAAATGTTATGTTTAATGAATTATAATATATTTGTAAATAACTGACAAAGTTTAGTCTTTTTTTAATGAAAATTTTAGAATCTAATCCACCCAGAATTAGACTTGATGCTATCTGCCAATTTTTATCAAAACCTTGTTAATTGACTGCATCTAAAAAGTTTTTTATATTTTTTCAAAATTAAAAAAAGATTGATAGTCCAATGTTGAAAGGGAAAAGTTCTGAATTTTGGTGTACTGTTTTAAGTCAGGTACAGTACAGTTTTCATTGTCATAGTTGGCAATGGCATTAGAAAAATCTTCTTCCCCAATTTCTATCTTATTATCCATCTCCGTACTGTCTGGTATACAGGATGCAGCAGTAGAACATAAAATAACAAATATGCTCAGCACTTTTACAGTACAATCTCAGAAATTTGAAAATGTTGGGAATTAGAGCATTCTTGACTTATGAATTTTCTGGTTGTCTGAACAAAGTCATTCCTCTCTCTCTGCCTTTTCTCCATGAATCCGTGAAGCATTTCTCTCTTAAAGATCCCAAGATAAATTACAGTTCAGTGTAGGGCTGCAGAGCTATGAAACGAGTTTTCTTACATAAGTCATACACAGTATTGGTTATTACTTTTCATAAAAAATACCTTAACAAAACAGTTTAGAAAGACAAAACATGAAAATAAGATGAAACAGGCTTACAAAGTGCTGCTGCAAGGTGATTTTCTCTTTATAAGTAACAGGGAATACTGTGTGAATTTTTAAGGTAATTATTATCAGCAGGTGTGCATTGCTAAATTGAACGTTTACAATTTCTGAAACACAGCACTGACAAGCTAAGAAGGCAGCCAGCCAGCCTCTGCCTTGACCACGTGTCCAAAAGGGTTCCAGTTAGGTTGACATGTCAGTACGTTCAACTTGGCTCTTTTATCAGTAATGCAACACAGGCACTACAATAAATAAACCTTTAAGCTCTTATTTTAATTCGACTTCCTGGTCGTGATGTCTAATAACAAAGAAACAGAGGATGTTGCTGGCCTATGGAGGTTGGGGTACACCGCATTGTTTCACAGTACAGTATAACGAAAATGTAACTATTTAATTAAATCATGAAATCTTTATTTAAATTAATCGTGAAAATTAGATGACTAAATGTTCTGTATTTTAAACATATCATGAGTTTTAAGTTTCATATTTATACATGATGAATGAAAAGTATCGTGTCGTAGGAACCACTAGGGACCATTAACAATATAAAGCTTCAAGAGTCTACTGGAGAAGCACTGGGCAGATTAAAGTGTGAACTGTAGTTTCTGTTACCTGAGCATATGGAGTAGCACCATTACTGATTGTTGTCTAATAAGACCCGACACAGAATATACTTCAGTAAATAAGTAAGGAAGGTTGACTTGGCCTGTGAGTAGGGGCAGAGGCTGGTACATGCTGCAATATTTAATAATTAAAGCAAACCTTTGTGTAACTAAACAGTGAAAATTTGATGATGGATTTTTAGCACTGAATTATAAAGATATCATGAATTTTGAATATGAACTTTGGGCACTTTTCACTTAAAATGAGGTCGCAGAATCACAGAGCAAGCACTGCCACACATAAATCCAGCTGATAGCTTTTACAACAAAAGCATGTGCAACAGATTATTCAAAACAGTGGTTTGTTGATTATTTTTTTAATGGCAGTTTTCTGGGCTCCCAGATAACTGTTTTCAAAAAGTGAAATTACTGTAATGGAAAAAAAAATTATGAATTAGAATAGTAGAACTTACAATAACTGTGACACATCTGTCTTCATGCAATATTTGAAAAAAAAAATTCCTGAGAAAGTTGATAAGATGAGCCTTCTTATGACAGGATAAAGAATTGTGTTTTTAAGGTATTGTACTGTACTGTATGTGTAATGTAAATTGTAGATATTCTGATTAAGATATTGCTTGGAAATTCAGGCGTGACAAACCACTTGGTCATAAACTAAAGGACACCTGACAGCTGGCCATTGTATAGTACTGGTGGTGTATACAATATCCTCAAGCTGATAAAAAGTGTTAATACCATATACTAACATCCATCTAACCCTCATATTGTACTGTACTTCATAGCAACAAGCACTCTACCAATCCTCCCTACACCAGGAATCAAATCTTGGGACAACCTCAATATATATCATTATGTCCTAATAAAATATACCACACACACACACACACACACACAGAGTAGAACTTCAGTATAATTGGGTAATCATAGTGAGCAAATAATAAAAAAATGCCAAACAATCAAGACTCACCCGCTGGTCAACTTACACACTGCCTCTGGTGGTCAAGGCAGGTGTGTATGGGGGGTCCATAAAGCATAGTGACACAGTAAGGTGCATGGGAACTGATAGTACCTCAGCTGCGCATATCCCATACATGTCTTGAGATACCCATTGAGGCCTATAGACCTTTCCATAGCACCTGATCTGAATGAGCGACAAAAACATAAAAAAAGTACGGCACGAAAATAACACTTAATTGGAACTGTTAAATAGAGCTTAAGTTCCCCAGTAAATTACTGCTAAACTGGATTAATTATTATAGGAATAGAGGATCTGGTTTTTTTTTTCATGGAGTATTATGTGTGCGTGTGCTTTTTTTTATTTGCTAGAAAAAAATACAAATTATACACCTGTAGATAATTTTTTTGGGGGGCAAACCTGTGCAGTTTGATTCATCAGGGAAATTGACACAAACTATACCACTGAACAAGTATCAACACACTCACTAGAACTTCACTGCTTTACCAATTGATACTTCACAAAAATGGCTTAGTTTGTGTTGATTGTACTTATGAGTCAACCAGCATCATGTTTGCTATAAAAAAAAAGATGCTGGTCCTCTAATTATATATTTTTCTAACATAAGTTCGAAATATCTTGGTATGTATGACATTTACTTAATTTTTTTATGGTAATGCATGAAGAAAACTTGTAAAAGACTGGATTTAGATAATGTTACAGTGAAACATCTAGAACTGTATTTAACAGATTATAAGGAGAAGAAAGTCCGTTATATCGAGAAACCGTGAGATATGACCCCTCCCCCCCATCTAACACATTCTATGGAGAGAGAAGTCCGTTATATAGAAGTTTCACTTATAAATTACCTTTGAAAAATCCATAATATTAAGATTATGATTAGTATGTCCTAGCAGCAAAGACCCCATGTCCCTCTTTCCGGCTGCTGGATGTGGAGTCAGTAATTGATGCACCAACGCCAAGTTAACACATTTTGGGATGAGACAAAACTTGAAAAAAATTTTGTCAGATAAGTAAACAAAAGAATATATGGAAAATCTAAAGACATTAAATGATAAACACATAAGATATCTATCTATGAGACATTTAACATGCAAATTCCACAACATAACTAAATAATGGATATGTGGAGCATTTCTCATCTTCATTGGGTTCTATGCACTGCAGCCACCTTCCCACCATATTTGGATGTATCATTAAATTAAAAAATATTAAATTTCAGTGAGATTTATTTTTATTTTATTTTATTTTTTCAAATTAGGTTAGTTTGGCACATGCTGGACGAAGGCTTCTTGTTCTGTATATCCACACCTTCATCTGTTTTCTTCATGGTCCAGCTCTCTGGATGGTAGGCTATAGTATACTCTAGTTTCATTTATTTCAGTTCATGATTCCATTTTATCATTTACATACACTGTACTTGACAAACTTTTAACTTGCTGAGGCTGACGAATGCTATTTTTGGTGAGGTCATATTAGGGGTGGTCAATTTGTATTTTTTCTAATATTCAGTCTTTCAAAATGTAAATAGGAAAAACTAAAGTCATGGTATATACACATACTGTACATATATTTATTGCGTTGCACTACAGACTTAATTGTAATGACACTCAGTGGTTCATTCCACGTAGCACAGATCAGAATACACACCAATATAGCATTTTTTTTTCTCTGAGATACGTATATTGGAACACAATTCGGCACAGGACGGTTTACCTTTGGCAGCTATGTCACGCAGCCCATGCACAGTACTAATGCAAACAGGATAGAAATAAATATTGCTGACTCCACTCCAAGATTAGATGGAGGTAAACAAACAATGATTTAGTTATGGCATAGGTTAGACCATCTTAATTTCATACCACATGTCTTAAGATTTTAGATTTTCCCCAAATTATGAATATCGATCTCAATATCAGCGTATAAGTCAACCCCCAAACACTACCTAAGCAGTGTTTTAATAAATACTGGTACTATAATAAAAAGCTGCAGTAGAGTATTGTATAGTGGTATGAGCTATAAAGGAACTCTCTCTCCCCTTAGAACCAATCAGAGGCTGCTGTTATGTCAGGTCCCTGTTCTCTAGCCTCTTTAACCCTTTGATGATGATGGTTTAACACCTTCACGACGATGGTTTGGCCCTTTGGTGGTGATGTGTTAACCCTTCGATGTCGATGGATTAACCCGATGATGATGATGGTTTAACCCTTTAATGACGATGTCTTAACCCTTCTGGACTTAAAGGGTTAAAAAGCTCCTCCCAGTTATCACCACTCCTCCAGACAGCCAGGATCCTGACTTATCATCACTCCACTAACCTGACCCTCTCAAAGACTGCTCATGACACCCCAAGTAAATAGAATGAACTACAAAAGGCGGTTTCAAATTAATAGTTGTAGAATTAGTTCAGACTATTGTAGTACTGTTCATGGAGAACTTATAATATCAATAGAAAGTAAATACGGAAATGGAGGATTCTAAATAGCGACCATTTATACCAGAGATGATGATGATAATGATTGGTATTTGGGTAATTTGGTCAGTGATAGCCGACGATGCCATCAGAGGCATATTTCCGGCAGGGTTCATCATCATTAACTTTGATGTCTCTCACCTTCAAATTGACCTGGAATTTATGGTTTTATATTCGGGAGAAGAGAAAGTTTCCAAGGTTGATTTATATGCCAGCAGATACAGTATTTGTATGATGGCCCCAAAGTATCCTAGGTGAGCCTAAGTCCTAAATTTTAAAGTTAGAAACTGCAAGGCTCTATTCCACAAATGTAGACACACACACACACACACACGATCATACATACAGGAATACTCAAACACATAAACACATGCCCCAATTTTTTTTTCCATGTTCGGTTCATTTCTGATCTTGCCATATACCATAACATATCAGTTTTGCCTAAAATTCCCAATTACATGTCACTTTTTATTAGTACAAGCTATATCGAGGAAAATTTTATTAATAGGCATACAACTTAATCTACTTAAGTTTAATGTAGAGTTGGGACTAAGGAAGGACCATTGATAGAAAGCATTGTAAAAATTATCCTCAGGTCTACATCAGCCAAAGGACCGTACAGACAGCATAGCTCACTACACCGTCTGTTTCATTCTCACTTCACCAAACTACACTGTCCCTATTCACTTATACATTATAAATATATGATAATATAATTTAGAACTACAGTATAGGTAGATAAAGTACAGTACAAGAATTAGAGGATAATGAAAACTATAATGAGTTTCAGATCAGACATGAGGGATGGCTTAGGATTTAGGTGTTTACTGTTACACCGTTGCCAGAGAAAATTAGTGAATGTTAACTAAACTTAAAGATCATCTGATGCTCACAAGATATATCTCAATGGTAACTGAAAAAAATTAAATTACTTCTTTCTTATTGTTATTATTTTTATTATTATTACAAGTGTATTATTATTAATATTACTATTGTTGTTAATTTTCACCAACTCAACCATTTATATCTAAAATTTTATCATCCAGATTAAACAGTAGTATTTACTTTACCAGGCTTGGGCAGTGGAAGCTGACCAAAGTTTAAATTGGCCAAGAAATTAATGATTCTCATCAAGTAAAGACCTAGGGTATGTTATTACATCTCGTGTACAAGTATACCACCTAGTACAGTATTGTAAAACAGCAATAGAGGTTATTGTTAAACCTAAGAAAATTAACATCTCGTTTGTCCAGTAATTTAAAAAAAAAAAGTGTATTACATCTAATTATGAATCCTTCTCAGGTGACATGTCACGACCAAGATTATTGGAGACAGAATCTCTCATTAACCAATAGTTAAACCTTTATTGGTGGGTATTTTTACGTGTACTGTCCGTCCAGGACAGGGTATATTTCGCTATGTAGAAAACAGAGTAAATTGCGTAAAAAACATAATCAGTCAGTAAATACGAAAACACTAATAATTTCATAGAGAAATCACGAGTTGAATTGGGAGGTGGGTGGGCGGTGTCCGGGTCGAGCTGTCAGCATCGTCATAGTAACCAGACAACAATACAGCTACGAGCACACCCAAACAATGGCCAAAATACCTAAACATCATTTGATGTCTGCCGCCCTTAAAGGGTTAATGGAACAAGTCTTCTATGTTGTGATCCACTTTAGCTGTTAAGCTTGAAATTGGGCAATACCGTCCTTGGCAGAATTAACCGTAGATCACTTTACTGTACCTCAGAATACCCGACTTGGGTTACTTGTCACTCATTGTCTACCTAAAGATTACTCCTCTTTACCTCTGTGATATAATTACACAGAATAGAGTAGTGGAATGCCCAAGCAAGTGTAGGATAACTATATCACTTCTCACCCTAGAGTGGGAAAAATAATTTATCTTTTATCTGCCAAGTGACTGTGCACGATTACATTATCACTTTTTGTTTTCCTCATAATGTCTTGAGTTATTCTTCAGTGTCTGCTTGGTGGGTGATCTTTAGATATTTTTCTAGCATGTAGCTCTTGGTGTGTTTTCACTTGTAAGGCTTCACCCACAACAACGAATGGTGGACAGAATCAAGAGCAACACACACGCTCTCCTCTCAGTCTCTGTTATTCTCTTATGCTGCCTGACCAGACATGTCTTACTATGTTGTTCCTTTTTCATAGCAAGGCCTAAGGATAGCCATCTGGTACACCTTTAGCACTTTATACAACACTCATCAGCATATATGTCTCCAAAGACTAATACTGTACTTCCTAAATCTCTTATCCTCTTCCCATCCAGTATTTCCCTCACTACATTATTCCATCTCCTTCTCAGACATCCTCTCTCCAACCACCCACCTATTTTTTTATATTGTACCAAACAAAAAAATAAATTTTTAATGAAGCCACAAAGTTAATATAAACTAGTGTAGATGAATTTTATATTCACTCTATGACTGAAATTGTCAGATTGTGGGTTCTTCTTCCATTGCAATACCTGCTGCTGTCTTAGATATATTTTACTCCACAACAATTATTAAGGAATACAGTACCTTCATTGTAGCTATTTTTATTTATTTTTCTTCGAAGGTAAAGAATAAATTGTTTCAACTCCTTGAAAACTATTTTATCATTTTACAAACTAGGTAACATAAGAAGCTCAAAGGCTAGATTTCTTGATGTTGTTCGGATATATTGCCAGTACAATACAGTATTTCATATATATAATACTTAATGGAGCTTTTTTGTTATTTT